CCGCTACGTTAGTTGGTATCAGAGCAAGGTTCTGAATCCAAGATTCGCCTTTGTTTTCGATGGCCGATTCACGAGATGGAAGCAACCCCTCCAGTGACGGTGATTGTGATGGAGTAGCTCTTTTGAGGGTTGAGTTTACTGAGTTCCAGACCAACGTTAATCGAACCTTGCTTGATATGCATGAAACCATGCGTCAAGTATTGGCGAGATTAACAACGGTAAAACTTAACCGCGAGAACAACAGGCTGCCCAACGACAGTGATCATGGACGTCCTGCTGGTAATCGCAACCCAAACCCACCAAATAGGCAACCAGCCTATGAGAAAAATGTCGGTTTTGGTAACAACCAAGCCGTACAGGTGTTTGGAGATAATCGAGGTCGATGAGAAATTGATGATTCTAGGGATTTTCGTATGAAGATTGACCTACCCACCTTTCAAGGTCATCTTCGTATTGAAGAATTCTTAAACTGGATTAGTGAAGTTGAACGTTTCTTTGACTATATGAAAATCTAGGAGGAGAAGCATGTCAAACTCGTGGCCTATAAGTTGAAAGGCGGCGCATCAGCATGGTGGGATCAAGTGCAAACTACCTGCGCACGTAAGGGTAAAGATCCGATACGTACATGGGTTAAGATGAAGAAGTTGATGAAAGCTCGATTTTTACCCCTTGATTACGAACAGGTTCTTCATAAAAAATATCAGTCCTGCACGCAGGGAAGTAGAATGATTGCTGAATATGCTGAAGAATTTTATCGGTTGTCATCTCGTAACAACCTGGTGGAACCCGAATTTAGCATGGTGGCCCGTTTCAAAGGCGGGTTACGATGGGATGTTGAAGAGAAAGTGTCGCTGCAACCGTTATTCAAACTGTCTGAGATTGTAACAGCGGCAGAGAGTGCAGAATCGTTAATGGAGAAGTCGAAGAATCGGTCTCGTGGTTCATATAATACCCCACGTCCTACGCATGACATGGGTAAACAGACCGTGATAGCCCCTGTTCAAATGACATGGCGAGGCATTGGAGATGGTCTAACAAAGGCCAAACCCGCAACACCCATAGGCCCTGCTAGAAGGGGAGCCCCAGCTGTGAGAGAAAATCCCTATGCACACCCAAGTATGGGCAAGTGTTTTCGATGTGGAGAACCTAGCCATAAATCCAACAATTGCCCCAAGTGACCGACAGTAAATCTGGTTGAGCATGAGGAAGGTGAGTTCTTTACCTTTGAAGAAGAATAGGTGACTGAAGGAGACAATGGCGAGTTGTTGTCCCACTCTTTAGTCGTGAGGAGGTTGATGTTCACGCTAAAGGAGGAGGATCACCCGCAGTGTCATAATGTGTTCCGTACACGTTGCACTGTCAACCATAAGGTATGTGACGTTATTATTGATAGCGGCAGTAGTGAGAACATTGTTTCCTTAACGATGGTTCGAAAATTGGGGCTTAAAATAGAGAAACATCTCCATCCATACAAATTTGGATGGATCAAGAAAGGCTCAGAAACGCGAGTAACTGAAACCTGCACTGTTCCATTCTTAATTAGGAAAGCATATGCAGAGGAGGTGCGTTGTGATGTAGTCGACATGGATGCATGCCATATGACCATGGCAATTTGATGTCGATGCCACTCACCGTGGTAGAGACAATGTGTATATTTTATACAAGAATGGTCAGAAAATTGTTTTGGGTCCGCTGAAAAAAGCCGAATTTCCCAAAGGAAATTCAATTATGTTGATCAACAATGAGGAATTTCTGGGCGAATAACAATTCCCCTCAAATCTTTGCTGTTATGTGCAAGGGGGAAGTAGTTGAACAACCTCCTTTTACATTACCAACAATAGTGTAGCCATTACTGCAGGAGTTTAGTGAGTTGGTGCTGGAAGACTTGCCTGATAGTCTCCCTCCCATGAGGGACATTCAGCACCACATTGACTTGGTGCCCGAGGTGAGCCTGCCAAATATACCAAATTACCGAATGAGTCCCAACGAGAGTCAGATCTTACAAGAGCAAGTGGAAGAGTTACTAGAAAGGGTTGATTTAGGAGAGCATGAGCCCCTATGCTGTTCCGGCCTTGCTAGTACCGAAGAAAGATGGCAGTTGGAGAATGTGTGTTGATAGCCGTGCAATTAACAAAATCATTGTCAAGTACAGATTTCCTATTCCACGGTTGGATGATATGCTAGATATGTTGGCGGGATCGAAAGTCTTCACCAAAATGGACCTCAAGAGTGGATACCATCATATCAGAATCCGCCCTGGGGATGAGTGGAAAACGGCGTTCAAGACAAAAGGACTGTACAAGTGGTTAATCATGCCATTCGGATTATCGAACGCGCCAAGTACTTTCATGCGGTTGATGAATTAGGTGCTCAAATCATTTATTGGTCGATTTGTAATTGTTTATCTCGACGATATTTTGGTTTATGGTCAAACAGAGGCAGAACACCTTTTGCACTTGAGAGAGGTATTAACAGCTTTGCAGAAGAATAAAATCGTCATTAATCTGAAGAAGTGTAGCTTTGTGATCCTAAGCCTAGTATTAGTCGGCTATGTGGTTTGTAGTGATGGCATTCAGGCAGATGAGGAGAAGGTGAGGGCCATTCGGGAGTGGTCTACGCCGAAGAATGTGGGAGAAGTATGCAGTTTCCATGGCTTAGCCACGTTCTACTGAAGGTTCATCAAGAACTTCAGTAGTATTGTGGCTCCCATCACAGAATGCATGAAGAAAGGAAAATTCCAATGAGAAGAGGAAGTTGAGATAAGTTTTGCCTTAATCAAGGAAAAACTGTCAACAGCCCCAATCTTAGTCCTTCCAGATTTTGAGAAGCTATTTCAGGTAGATTGTGATGCCTCAATAGTGGGAATCGGAGCAATTCTATCACAAGAAGGAAGGCCAATAGCGTTTTACAGTGAGAAGCTGAGTGAAGCACGCAAGCAGTGGACTCCCTATGATTGGAATTCTATGCAGTGGTTCAAGCTTTGCATACATGGGAGCATTATCTTATCTAGCGAGAATTCGTGCTGTTTAAAGATCAGCAGGCACTGAAATCCATTAACAATCAAAACAGTGTTAATAGGATGCACGCGCGATGGGTGGCTTATATCTAGCGATTCACCTTCTCGCTAAAACACAAGTCAGGCCAACAAAACAAAGTTGCAAACGCACTAAGTAGGAGAACAGCTTTCTTGGTGACTATGAGGGCTGAAATCACAGGGTTCAAGTGCCTGAAGGAGTTATATGAGAGGCCGACGAAGATTTTGGCCAAGTCTGGGCAGTATGTAACGAGCCAATCCTTTAAAGGGTTGCACATGCAGGAATGATTTCTCTTTAATGGCAATCAGTTGTGTATCCCACGAAGCTCTTTGCGGGAGCAAGTGGTTCGTGAATTGCATGAAGGAGGATTAGGAGGACATTTGGGGCATGGTAAGACGCGAGAGCTAGTAGAAGAACGGTATTATTGGCCACAACTCAAGCGTGACGTGGAGAACCATGTGTGGCGGTGCTCAATCTGCCAAACTAATAAAGGCCAATCTCAGAATATTGGTCTTTACACACCGCTGCCTATTTCAGATGCTCCATGGGAGAATTTATCCATGGATTTTGTTCTAGGGTTGCTGAGGACGCAACGAGGAGCAGACCCTGTTTTTGTGGTGGTCGATCGATTTTTTCCAAGATGTCCCATTTTATTGCATGCAAGAAGACGAACGATGCAGTCCAAATGGCCAATCTGTTCTTTAAGGAGGTGGTTCGTTTACATGGGGTGCCACAGTCCATTACCTTAGATCGTGACACCAAGTTCTTGTCTCACTTTTGGCGGACTTTATGGAAGAGATTCGATACCTCTCTTAATTTCAATAGCACCAGTCATCCCCAGACTGATGGCCAGATAGAGGTGGTGAATAGGACCCTTGGAAATCTAATTCGTTGTATTTCAAGAGAGAAACCCAAACAATGGGATCTTGCTCTTGCCCAGTCAAAATTTGCTTTCAATTGCATGGTTAACAGGTCCACTGGCTAATCCCCGTTTGCGGCTGTGTATTGCTGTCCTCCAAAAGTTGCTTTGGATTTGGTATCCTTACCGAAGTTCTCGGGGAAGAGTGTTACTGCAGAGAAAATGGCTGAGCACATTAAGACCATTCAGGAGAGTGTCAAGAAACATCTAGGGGAAACTTACGCCAAATACAAGGCCGCAGCTGACAAGAGACAAAGGAAAAGAGTATTTGAAAAAGGAACCTGGTTATGGTGTATCAAAGAAAAGAGAGTTTTCCATTGGGAACATACAAGAAGCTGCAGGCCAAGAAATATGGTCCGTACCAGATTCTAAAGAAAATCAATGACAACGCCTATGTGATTGATTTACCTGCTGACAAGGCCATTTCTTCTGCCTTCAATGTGGCTAACAGACATGAATATTATCCGCCATATTCGGGTAACTTGGGGACGAGTTCTTTTTGCGCAGGGAAGACTGATGTAGAACAGCTCACTCGTGATTATCTGAGCATGCAGCATCACTGCAAATCAGGGAGGCTGAAAAGGTAAGGAGAATAGAAGAAAATAATAAATAAAGAAAAGTCAAAAGGATATTTGGTGTAGTTGCCAGCAATAGAATTCTCCGTTGCAAGAATTAAGGAGGATTCAGAAAATAAATAAGAAGATTTGGTGTAGTTGCCAATAATAGAAGATATTATTCTCCATTGCAAGATTTAAGGAGGATTCTACTCCATTAAATCTCATATTTCCCCTTTAATATTATTTCACGCATGCTTTCTTTTTTTATTTTATTTTTGACTTGCCTATACAAAGGCAAGAGATGTAAGTCTACAGACATCATCATTATCAATATAATTTCAGTTTCTCTCTTGTGAGTGTGTTCTTTGTGAATTCAAGGGTTTAACCCTGTTCTTTATCGTTTCCGCTACGTTAGTACATGATTGCAAATTTACCCCAAATGCATTGTATTTTATATTACTTCTAACTAATTATTTTTCTTCGGTGCAGTGTGAAGATACGAGATGCAATGTGTGGCAGCATATTGGTTGTGTTATTATTCCGGAGAAGCCTATGGAGGGTGTTCTACCTGTTCATCCCGACTTTTTTTACTGTGAACTCTGTAGACTCAGTCGGGCTGACCCGTATGTAGTGCCCATCTTTTCCTTTTTCTTTTTTGGATTATAATGTGCTTTAATGATTTCTGTGCATTCTATTGTTTTTTTTTTGGTATCTTAGTTGTTGGCTGCATCATATTGTGCCTCTTGTTTCTGTTGCTGGTTTAGCTTTAATATTATGATTGTTTTGTTATCACATTGCAATTTGAGACTCCTTTTATCTTTTTATTTTTATTTTTTTGGTTCTATTGACTGTTTAATTTATGGCATTAATTAGTTTGCTTTTAAGCTTTCCATGTCATAGTTTTGTGCAATTACAGGTTTTTACGCATTTCCTTTGGTTTTATATTATATTATAGGGTAAAGTACAATGACACCCCTTGAGGTTTGGCATAAGGACAACCATATACAAGTTGGCCTATTTTTGGAGAATGACACCCCTTATCAGAATTTTTGATCCAAACAAGCCCTTAATACGTTGGAAAAGACGAGATTGCCCATCACTAATTAATTCATTTTGAGTGTAAATTACCAAAATTTATGAAAAGTCATTTTGCCCTTAGTATATATATACAATAATATACACACTATTACTGCCACTTCTTGTAGAGAGATTTGAAGCTGATGGGTGGAGGACGTCGGTAGTGGTAGTGGTTATGGTGGTACATGGCATGGTGAGGGCATATATAAACATACACACACACACACATATATATATATACACTCATATACTACGTATATAAAAAAGTTTTTGGGTAACTTTAGAGAGAGAGAAAGTGAGTACAAAAAGAGAAAGAAGTTAGTATTGATTGAACCGATGTGAAGCTGGTGGGTGGATGTCGGCGGCGGCAGTGGTGGTGGTGGTTCATGGCATGGTGGCGCTGGGTAGTGGTGATAGCCAGAAAGATGAGGCCGCCGACGGTAGTGGTTGTGGTGGTTCATGGCATGGTGGCGGTGCGTAGTGGGTGGTGATGAGGACAACGGACGGTGTCGCCTTCACCAAAGACTTCACTGGCCTCAAACTTGTTCTATATCACGCTCCCACGTGCCAAGATTTGTCTCTGCAATAGATCTAACGCGTGTACACGCGCCCCGCCGCTGGCCACTCGCTCCGAGCTCCCTTCACGTCGCCGAAACACCTTCTTCTTCCACAAGCAAGAAGTCAAAAAGCCCATCAAAGAATCATTCCGCAGGCGCTTGTTTCTGCACCATTGGCATCACCAAAAACTGAATCAGCGATTCTAGAACCAAAATCACTACTCGTTGCCGCAACTCTCCTCATCCATGCAAGCTTCAAGGAAAAAAAATCTGTTCTTACCCAAAGTTCAGTCTGCCCTTCGCTGGTAAATTCAGTCTCTCGCTGGTTCAGTCCGCTCCTCGCCGTTTCAGTCGCTGCTCCAGTGAATACACAATGGTGGGTGGTTTTGGGGATGGAGACGATGGTGGTGAGGGGTTTAGGGGCGGAGAGGGCTAGGGATTTGGTGGTGGGTTTGAGGGAGAGGCAGTGGTGGCTTGTTTGGGTTAGGGTTTGAGAGGGGAAAGAGAAGAAGAGAGAGGAGAGAGAAAAATTGGGGTTTTCAAATAGGTTGTACCCAGTAATCCATTTACACCTATTTGATCCAAGGGTATTTAAGTCGATCAAAAAGGGTTGTATTGTTTAAATTGATAATTTAATATGACAAAGGGTAATAAAGTCAATTCATCATTGTCAGGGTGCTTTGTCAACTTTACCAAACCTGAGGGGGTGTCATTGTCCAAAAATAGACTAACTTGCATATGTCTATCTTTGTACCAAACATTTGGGGGTGTCATTGTACTTTACCCTATATTTATAATATATTATATTATATGCGGGTGATTAACTCTTGTGATATGTTGTGCTTCCCGATGGCGTCAGTTTAAATTTCTTAGTTCAATTTGTTATTTGGTGTCTTTCATTCTGCATCTGTATGATGCTGCGAATTTTCACCATCAGCATTACATTTCAAAATTTTCAACCAGTCAATTGATTATCTATCATGTAATTCTACTTGTTGAATTCCTCAGAACTCGTCTTTTTTTGACTTACCCTCCTACAATGTTGTTGTTGTCATTGCACATTATTGGAGTACTGATGATTTTGTAAGAACTGTGGGAAGTTTTCTATCTTTATTCCTTTCCTTTTTATCTTTTCCCCCTTACAATTTGAAGCTGGAAGTGCCAAGTAACATACATCATTTGATTGAATGAAGGGAAACAATGTGATGTAGATGATTTTTTCAAATGTGAATTACTTGAATATTGCAACACTGGACATTATTTTTCCAGGCAGTCTCATCTGCCTAGGTTAAATGGGGTTGTTCATTTAGCAAACGATGGAAATTGTTTGTTATGACCTGGCTTAAACCTGACTCATTGTCAGCCTTAAGTACTGTTTAGTTTATGCTGTTCTTAACAATGCTTAAATTGTATTTTCTTTTCTGCAGTTGCTATATTATCAAACTATATTCTTTTAACGCTATTAGGAGTCGTAATTAATAGAGATTAACTAGTACTTCTGTCTTATTTTGTTTTTCTTTATCCAGATTTTGGGTGACAGTTGCACATCCTTTATATCCTGTGAAAATGACTACTCCAAATGTTCCAATGGATGGGTAAGTGTATGAGATTTCCTAATCCTGAAGTTGTGAAGCTTGTAGCTTCTTTAGTACCTCTGTTACGATTTTTGCTTGCAGTTAGCATAAGTGTTCCGACATAGTTCTGGTGACTTGAGTTTTATGAACTTGATTTGAGTTTTGTATTTGAGTGTTTAAGACCTGGTGGTTTTTGCGGGCACCCCTCTCTGCCTATATATATATATATATATATTAGTTTAAATGATTGGATTTTATTGAGGGGTGTAAAATTTAATTGTATATTTTGATATCCAAATTATAGTCAACTTTTTAATTTGGTTGTCTGAGATCAATTTTTTTTTTCTCTTAGTTGGTACTCACACACCCATATATGCCTCCCACTTAGGCTTGAACCCCTGACCTTCCTTTGAAAAGTTGGGGCTTGATACTGCTGGGCCATTGGCCCGTTGGTGTAGTATGAGATCATTGTTGTGTACTTGGATTTAAAAGATAAGATTCACTCTGTTTTCTTTAAAATCTTACGAATGGGTACGAACACCGAATTGATGAGAAAATACAATGTTAGTAGTCTAGCTATTTGTTAAAACATTTCTTCAGGAATGTTGCTGACTTGGGTAGGTTTTTGGTATCTGATATGCGCATATCTCTTTTAGTGTTATTCAGAAGGGGGATTTGATTTGGATTTTGAATTGGCATTGGTGGTTGATTGCAGACACTGCAGACATGCTACAAGAGTTTGAGTATGGTTGGTGATGTCATTATGTTTGGGCTATAGTTAGGATCATGAATACGGTAGCTTTTTGCACCAATAAAATACTAATAACATCATTGTTAAAAAATTGATAAGTTTATGTTGTTGTTGCCATGGATGTGCATGTTCTTGTTTCATGTATACAACATGCATTAGGCTATTGTCAATAACTTGAACTGGGGGTATTAGGATTCATTTTATATATTCTATTGTGAATTCTCAATGTTTCGTGAGGTGGCTGGATTTTTCTTTTCTGTTCTTGATTGCTTCTCATTTGTGGAAATGTGTTGGTTGTTACTTGATAGCCCATGTTGGCCAGGGAATGATTAGGTAACAACCTGAATTACCGCTTAATACCTCCATTCTGCTGATCCTACTTACTTGATGTCTCTATAGATCTAAGATGGTGGAGTAGTATAGATCTTTTATATGTTGCTATGAGCCAGTATTTCTGTATAAATAGTAAACATGCAATTTTTTTGGGTATTTGGATCATAATTTATGTGTTTGCTACAAGTATGCCTTCAAGTGATCTGCACTTTTGTTGTACTTATTTATTTTTTGTTTACAAAATTCTTCAGTGCAAGCGCAGTGCAGAGTGTGGAGAAAACATTTCAACTTACAAGAGCAGACAAGGACTTGTTGTTGAAACAAGAATATGATGTTCAGGTTGGTTAGTACAATATGTGCTATCTGATGAAACAATGCTGCATATTGTGGTGTTAGATCGTGGTGCATCTGTTTTTACTGATCTCTTATCAATGATTTTGATTTAGGCGTGGTGTATCCTTCTTAATGACAAGGTTCCATTTAGGATGCAGTGGCCACTACAGGCAGACCTACAGGTCAACGGTATGCTAATAGTGTTTTACTCATGTGTTACTTGCACACACGTGGCTGGTCTTTATCTGCTTGTACATGTGTGTCTATGTTTCTTTAAGTTTGAATTTATTTACTTTGAGAGGCATATTAAGTGGTTGTTCTGCATCATGAACATGTTCCAAATCTTGGTATGGTTTTTGGTTGTCTGTTTTGTTTTTTCCTTTTCTTCTTGTCTGGATTACATATATACTATTTTGTTTTATATATTGTGTATGACCTTACAGGTGTTCCAATGCGGGCAATTAACAGGCCTGGCTCGCAATTACTAGGGGCTAATGGTCGTGATGATGGTCCTGTTGTGAGTTTTTCAGCCCTTCAGATTACAAATTTCTCTTAGTTGTTGATCCTTCCTTGTCGGTTCAGCTTATGTACCTAACCATTTTGTTGAGCTATTTCTTTTTGTGCATCTGTATATTTTTCCCGTTTGTCTTGAATGTGTTTTCATTTTGTGCCTGTGTTGATTTCCGGTTTATTTCTTAGTTTACTTCTCGTTGTTTTGTCAGATCACACCATGCACCAGAGACGGAATTAATAAAATTTCCTTAAAAGGATGTGACGCTCGTGTGTTCTGTTTGGGGGTCAGAATTGTAAAGCGGCGTACTGTCCAGCAGGTACTTTTTACATTTCTGTCTGAGATTATGCAACAGCCTGTCCTGGTGCACAAGAAACTTCCCCAGTGTTCCTATAGTTTCTATAAAATAAGAAGGGAATTCTGTCTGAGATTTGGAAAGAGTTGAAGAAGATAATTCATGTGGCCAATCCTATTCTATTAGGATAAAGCTAAAGATGATGACGAGAAACTAACTTTATCATATTTTGAGGGCATTTGTTTTTTTTTTTTTCTTTTTTTTTTCCATAGATTTTAGTGAAATAGAAGGAAGAGAATTGTAATTAGTAATTGAATGGTTATTGCTTGGCATTCCTGCACAGTCTAATCTGTTAGCACATTTCGGTTGTCCGTGTGTACCTGCTGGTTGATTTTCGTTTCCTGCCTTGTTCTCCTCTTAAGATTTCTGCTGCAAGGTGTGGGATTCACTCTAGTGCTACTGTGTATCACTTTGTCTGCGACCTTGATATATTGGGAAGTTTCGCTTTTATGTTATTATCTGTATAGTACTGTAGTGAATTGTGTGGGCAGTAAGGTTTGTTCCTAGTCTCGTCTGCAAATTGCAATGGTCCAGATTTCATTGATTTGGCTGGCACCATTAATCTTGATTTAATATGAGGTTCAATCATTTTCTATATTGAGACGGTCTGAGTGTGGGTGAGGGGATAATTTGTTATCTAATATTACTGCATTTATAATTTATGAAGATTATAGGGCAATTTGAATATAAAAGAAAATTGCATGGACAATCTTTTTAATGTTGTATTTCTCTAAACATTTTTTCTATTGTTTGTCCATAATTTGCTATTTTTGCATCTCCATGTTTTGCTGTAAATTTTCTTGTATTTGGAAATAAAAAACTACATGTTTTTAGTAATGGCTATGAGATCCAAGTCATCGCTGCTGCTTTTGCCAAGGAACTTCTTCACTAACTCTTTTTTTTTTTTTTTGTTATTTTATTTTTACTTTATCGTCTAGATCCTCAACTTGATTCCCAAGGATTCAGATGGTGAAAAATTTGACGATGCTCTTGCTCGTGTTCGTCGTTGCGTCGGTGGTGGAACTCCTACGGAGAATGCTGATAGCGACAGTGATCTGGAAGTTGTTGCTGATTCTATTCCTGTCAATCTACGTTGTCCTGTAAGTAACTTTATGCATGTTGCTTATCCCCATCCCCTCCATATATATATATATATATATATATATATATATATATATATATATTAATACTTACTAAAAAAGGGCTATACATGTCAGTTCAAGTGTTCATTCTCATATTTGGATGTGAATGTTGATAAAATCGAGATTGTTGATTTTCTTTTTGTTTCATTGGCACTCGATGCCTTTTAGTTGTTGACGCTTTAGTTTTAAGTTCAGCGCTTCTTAACCAAAAAATGCAATTCAAAATTTTTAAGATCATGGAAGAGCATCTTGTTAGTTATTTAATGGTTGTTGGCTATAGTACAATGATCTTTTTTCTGTGCTGACAACGGTTTCCACTAATTAAAGGAACAATTGCAAGTGGTTCTAATTGTGTGGACCAAGGAATTAGTGTTGCACGTAAAAATGATCCTTATGTTTTAGCTGTGTGGACGAAGGAATTAGTGTTGCATTTAAAATTGATCCATTCTCTTTTGAAGCTTGAAGTATAAATCACAATTATTAGGACGCAATGGATGAGAACATTCATAAATATTTTCCGCTCCAGAGGCTTCGCTCTGGCTGATTCAACTGCTTGTGATTATTCTGTCATTAGTTAAATTGGTCATCCCAGTGTCCAGCAATAATAACTAACTATCAAGGTGCAGAATTGAACATCCTATCAATACTTACCAAAGGTTAATTCAAATAGTCTCTTGATTATTCCCGCAATTGAAGAGGATGATTGTTGCTTCCCTCACCTACAAGCCAATAACATACCATACATAAATAATAAACTGTGAATTAGGTTTTTTTTTATTTTTTTAAAAAGTTTTTCCAAACTCATTTGAATTTTCGTGATTAATTACGAAAGCCCATTTTCTTTTATTAACCAACAAACGTTGATATTGATATGGGTTACAATATATCCAGGAAAATCTTGTTACTTAAACCACGGTTTCTACTTTTTATCAACACTTTATGCCTTGAGTATAGCCGACTCCATCTAGGTTAAGATAAACCATCATCAAATTATTTGTTTATTGCTTCAATCTCAAACATTACATGTGACTGATTGTGACACAGCAGTAATTGAATCTTGAGTTGGCTACATGATTTATGTTTATTTTCCTGTGATTATATGTTACAGATGAGTGGTTCAAGAATGAAGGTCGCTGGAAGATTCAAACCTTGTGTTCATATGGGCTGTTTTGATCTTGAAGTTTTTGTGGAAATGAACCAACGTTCTAGGAAGGCAAGTAACTAAACGATTATCGTCCATATAATACTTTGCCTTCTTTTAACCATCTTATATTTGTTGGATATTTCTCATGGGTCCACTGTTAGCCAATTTGTATGTGTTTGTGCATCGTTGCAGTGGCAATGTCCAATTTGTCTCAAGAATTACTCTTTGGAGAACATCATCATTGACCCATATTTCAATCGCATCACATCTAAGGTATTACCTTTTGGGAACCTCTCAAACTTACCTGATTTATCGTTACTTTGGGGTTCATTCATATTCTTGTCTGATTTTTCTTGACCCATATTTCAGATGCAGAATTTTGGGGAAGAGGTGACGGAGATTGAGGTGAAGCCTGATGGTTCTTGGCGGGTAAAGGCAGACAGTGATCATAGGGACCTTGGTGATCTCTGGCAGTGGCACTTCCCTGATGGTACTCTATGTGCCCGGATGGATGGAGACATTAAACCTAAGTCTGAAGAGTTTAAGCAGATCAAACAGGAAGGTGGTTTTGAAGGTCATGCCAATTTGAAACTTGGAATCAGAAAGAACCAAAATGGGTGCTGGGAGGTCAGCAAACCTGAAGATATGCATACATTTTCTTCTGGTACCAAGTTGCAAGACAAGTTTGAAAACCATAATGTCATCATCCCAATGAGCAGCAGTGGCACTGGAAGTGGTAGGGATGGGGAAGATCCGAGTGTCAATCAGGATGGCGGTGGGAATTTTGATTATACTACCAATAATCATGGGATTGAGCTTGATTCATCTCTGAACATCGACCCAACATATGGATTTACCAACCGGACTCCTGCTGGACCATCAGTTCATCCTGAACTTATTGTTCTTAGTGATTCAGAAGAAGAGAATGACGCAATGATTTCTTCTGGTGCGGTCTACAAGAACAATCTAACTGATGCTGCATTTTCCATCCCACATGGTATGCCAGATTCATATCATGAAGATCCTGCTCTTGGTACTGGTGGGAATTCATGCCTGGGACTTTTCAATACCAATGATGATGAATTTGGTATGCCTCCTCTGTGGTCTTTACCTTCTGGTAGTCAAGCAGGTCCTGGTTTCCAGTTATTTGGTTCAGATGCAGATGCCTTGGTTAATATACAGCATGGTCCCATTAATTGTTCCACATCAATGAATTGCTATCCATTGACTGCAGAGACTGCCATGGGATCAGCTCCTCTTATCCCCGAGCCTTCCGTTGATCGTTCTAATGCTGATATAAATGATGGGTTAGTTGATAATCCCTTGGCATTTGGTGGGGAGGATCCCTCTCTTCAAATATTTCTTCCTACAAGGCCTTCAGATTTGTCAGTGCAGCCTGCCTTGAGAAATCAACCCGATGTGTCAAATGGTGTTTGTAATGAGGATTGGATTTCTCTCAGGCTTGGGGGCGGCGGCGGGGTTCACAGTGGCTCGGCAACTGCAAATGAATTGAATTCAAGACAGCAATTACCATCGAAGGAGAGCAACTTGAATTCGTTGGCTGACACTGGTATCTAAATTTCTGCTTTGAACTGCTATATTTCATCTATCTTCAAGAAATTATATTTCCCCTGGACATTATTCATGGGTTTTAAAGCAAGGATCCCTGGTTACGGTTTCTTTATCCCCTGGGGTTCTGTGTAGCTTATCGAATACTGAATTTTAATGTGCTGATATTATACCATTCTCATCTACTCTGATGTTGCTTGCTTATTCCATCTTCTCTTTTATCGCGATACATACTAGTGGCTGATTTTTTTAATTTCTTTTTCTATCCCGGTTCTGCAGCTTCTTTGCTTCTCGGTATGAATGACAGTAGATCTTCTAAGGTGAGTAGGGAAAGATCAGATAGCCCTTTCTCATTTCCTCGTCAGCGGCGTTCTGTTAGGCCACGGTTATATCTTCCTAATTATTCGGATTCTGAGTAGAGTTGGACATTGTTTGCTGAGAACAGTTGTTGCTTTTTAAAAGAACGATTAATCTGAAATGCTGCCAAATATACCCCTGATTAGGGAAAACCTTTTTGGAATGATCTGATGATGTGTCTCCTGACTTACTGTCAAGTTGTCAGTACATGTCAATTGAAGAAAGCCGACAAGCATTTTTTTCCATTGAAGTGGTAGTCTCAGGTGCTGCAAGGCATGGTGGAAAACTTTTAGCAAGAAATTTCCTGCTCAGAAGTGGTCCTGTTACGTCGGGAATCTTTTTCCATTGGTGAGCTGCTGCCCGCCCTTACTTTTTGGTTTACTCTGTCCAGCTCCATTTATGCTTGATAGATGCCGTCTACTTGGTTTCTATACCCCAAAGGCTGGTATAAATTCTTTTTTCCCATCCTTTCTCTTTGATGATGTCTTCTTGTAGGCACCATGCTGCCAAATTGTACAATAGACAGTTAATCAAATGTGAAAATTGGAAATGAGGTCCATTAATGTTAATTAGGGAGGGTGCCCTCTTTCAGTAAATCACAAGTATTTTACCCTCGACTCTGATTTTTTACTAGGAAATAACCTGTAAATGTCTTCTACTGGGATTCAGTAATTTATAGAAATACATACTATTTGTCATATGGATAAATATTGCAAGTTCCGCCTACAGCGAAATTCTCTTTTGATATTTCAACTCTTGGGTTGTTATGCATGTCAAATGATATTGTTGCTTTTGAAATGCCCCTGACAAATCGGAGGTGGTTTGATGTGTCTTGGCTGCACGAAGGGTTTGTGCGCGCGCTCGTGCAAGTGAAGTGCCCAAGTGATGCTGGCGTTGATTGAAATATGTTGTCAAGACTTGCCTCGAGCTTAAGAGTAAGGTTGTTTGGGATGCAATGATTTGATAGTTAGAAAATTGCGATTCGTAGGAGGCAATGAGTTTCACCACCTTACACTACAAGAATCTGCCTAACATCAGCTCGCTGGTTTAAATGAATCTTTCGATTTCATGTCACGCAATCTTCAAAGTATGGACACAGAATGTGAGAGAATTTGATTTTCCCGGAATGTGTTGCATGTTCAGGTCCTCTGCAATACAACGCCGCACCTTTTGCATCCAATGGCATTTCAGTCCCAACGGTACAAGCAAAGTAATACAAACAAATGGACATTTTACTGAGCAGACTAGCAAGAGACATTTCTCAGGAAACTGAACTTTGCACTAAGCATCATTCTAGCAAACAAGATCATAATCAGAGTGAAAATGACAAGTAATTTCCACTTTAACATAAAATAAATAATTAAAAATCTTTGATAAATACGCAAAGATAAAAAGATCCACTACAAATCAAGTGCTAATGCATCTTTTCTAAAATAGATCACTTTTTTTCTGTTCAGCATCTTCAAGCCCACATCCAATTGTTAGAAACATCCCACTTCATTTATTTTTGTTGAGATAAAATTGTGCTAGAAATCGTAGTAGCATTGAACCTACATGACACTTTTCTCATCCTTGGATTTAAGCTTACCTATGCTTAGACAGGAAAAAAAAAAAAAAGGCTTAGAGAGGATCCATTTCCTTTCTAGTGTTGGGTAGAAATAATGACTCAAAACATCCAAAAACCAGCAGTCCACCGGGTAAACTCTTGGACACAAAACAGTCAGATTCCTTAGAAGTTGAGGCCACCGCTTCTAAGAATGTCGCGAGGTTGCCTGAATGTGACCTACAAAAATAATGACAACAAAGTAGGACTGCCATTTTGGGCGATGAAATTATTTATGGAGATTTCTGGCACGGTTTCATTCTTCAGTTGCATTGACTGACGAAATCACTGAACTCCAACAACTTTTTGGAGGCAGAAACAAATTAGAGCGTGTCATTCCACATTATCACCGACCAACTTGGGATGCCTGGAGCTCTCACAACCCGGACAATTGTGCAAGCTCTCGTGAATGTAGATGTCACAATCAAGGCAAAAGTGGTGTTTACATTTTGGACAAGCAACAGTAAGGTTAGATTGGTTTCCTGCATCAAAACCAACAAAAGCAGAAGTTAAATATCGGAAGTATTTTACATGGAGATACATTTCATACACAAAATACACAATACACAAAATACAAGCCACTGTTACTTTGGTGCTCCTGATCCATCATTCTCTGCAGTAAAAATAATGTTTACCCAGCCTCTACAAATCCGTTAAGCCAAAAGGTCATCACAAGAGCATCCACTGATAACAAACATGTTTTTTCTTGAATCTTGTAAAGATTGACCTTTGCCTGATTGTCCGCATTAATTAGGCCCCATTTTGTTTCTCTCTAAACACAGAAAAATAATTCCACATCCAACATTATCATTCAAAGGTGCTTTAAATGCACTAGGAACCCATAGCATTTGAAGCTCCTGTAGCACAGTGCCCTTGTCCAATTGAAGAAAGGTACTAATTTTTTATGCATAAAAATGGTATTTGAAACCAATAAGCACCACGTTGATAACACAAGATCCCTAGACACATGCTGCATACATCATAATACATTCTATTTGCATAATTGTGAAGATTACACATAGAACTATCAACAAGTAGTTGTACTTGTTATCTTCTTTCCCTTTCAGTCCATGAGTCAATAAGGGCTTAATATCACAGGCTGGGTACTTCACGATCCGACCCAAAAGCTTAAGCTATTAGGTGGTGCCAACACCCAACCTTATAAGCCCAAGACCCTTCCCATCCGGATCTGATGTGGGACAAGAATCCATGACATTAAGGTCACTTTTGACTTAATGTCTATGATGACACTTTTTAAAACAAGCTTCAGTCATCTTGAGTTCCATTGTCAAAGAAGTTGCTGCCTAAACATTGTTGTTACTTAATAATTGTAACTGACAGTTTATATAATCTCTCTTTTTTTATAAGTTACAGTTTATATAATCTCTTTGCATACTGCTCTTGAAAAATAATCATGCATTCTTGTGCATTACTTGCTATGGCAACACGTAGTGACAAGAATAAATAGTCATAATTGTCACTCATGCTACTTTTTGTCTGAAGTTGTAATTCCATTAAAATAAGACACTTTTTTTCATTTTTTCTTGTGAAAATAAAATATTCAGTATTTCATTTACACAGCCACTTGACAAGCCTTAACTAAACAAGCTTGATCTTAGTTGGCTGGCTATCAGATCTAAGGTACCCATGCAAAAGTAGATACCCAGAAACTAAGGTGAGTATAAATATGGGCCATCTTGAGGTCCTTATTGGTGTTCCTTACAAACTAAGGTGCTTGGAAGAACAAGCTGGATATGCGCATAGCATTTGGCACCTAATTAAAGTGTGTTTTACAGAATCGGTCTTGCATTCTCAGTCTGCTAGAGCCAATTATAAGATTTGGATCCACATTGATGATAAATCAGTGGTTTCCGGAAAGTGTCACTCATATACATTCCCCGAGGAACACTCATCAAGGTTGAATTGAAACAGTCCATGGGCAAAGCAAAGGTTAATGGTGGTACTCAAGGATCAAATTTGGTGCCATTGTTCTACGACAAAGATCATAGACCCATCTTAACTCATTGTACACCATAGACCTTAAGCGTGTGTTAGATCTGATCTCCCAAATGGAGTTAGCATATCAAACCGAATCTCAAAAATGTTGGATCTTTCTCAACCCAACTGAAACCAGCATTAAAAAACACCCACACGCATGTTTTCCCCACGTTTTCCCCATGTATACCTTTTTTTTTTTTTTTTGATAAGTGTTTTCCCCATGTATACCTTAAACACACCAACATTAACCCACCCATGTTTTCCCCTACAAAACACACTATAACTCAAAAAGCCATCCAAACAAGAAAAAATTGCTTAGGAACGAGTCAGGTAAACTAGTAGCACTGTAACATTAGCAAAAGAGAGATGCCGTCATTAACACACGACACGCGTGAGTATATATAGGCCACATCTTGAGGTCCTTATATGCCTTGGTGTTCCTTACAAACTAAGGTGCTTGGACGAACAAGCTGGATATGCACATAGCATTTGGAACCTATTTAAAGGAAGTGTGCTTTTTAAAGACTCGATCTTGCATTCTCAGTCTGCTAGAGCCAAATATAAGATTTGGACCTATAACCATAGGGGTTTGCTACTTCAAACTTGAAAAACACATTTTTATTTAGGGGCTCAATGCTGCAAGATCCAGTGCCCAATATTTCAAACAGTGTTATCACCTTTGATGAAAAGAGAGTTCCACTTCCAGTAGGAAATTAGTCTTTCTTAATTACATTGTGATAGACAGCTTAACCATAAAATTTCTGCCTTCTTGAAACGGTTGCTTGAGATAATATACAAATTAGGTCACATATTGATAATTTCATAGTCTTGTAAGATACCAGACACATCCATGTACTGTGCCTCAGGTAAAGTTCAGTTACATTAATGCCACACAAGGTAAGCACAAACATGGGCCTTGGCGCAACAGTAAAATTGCTCCATTGTGACCTAGAGATCATGGATTTGAAACAGCCAAGCAGCAAAATGACACTGCTTATATATGTCATGTCTGCTACATGGGTCATTGCATTGTTGACCCACAATCAGATGCTTCACAGGAAGTTAATAGTGTAAATCAAAGACCAACATCTAGCATTAGGGGATAATTTTTTACAATGATATTTAGTTTGTAATGTACAATTTTGGAAGATGAAATATTCCATGCTTTCCTACAAATAATAACAAGAGTTAGTGAGTAATAATCCAACACTTTCCAATTTCACGAACAATTTTCTCTCCATGTAATTTTGTACATGAATTATCAGTTTATAAATATGGGAAAAGTTCAAAAGGGTGGTACATCAGAGATATATTTTTGTCACCCAGGCCACTTACATTAAAGGATGTCAGTTGGCCTAGTCCAAACCTAGATGTTTTTTCTACATTAGAAATGCTGTTTTTTTGTTGAAGATAAGTCCTTGATTTGTGAAGAACATGTTTGTTTGCATTGTTTTTTGTGCCAAGTCAAATTCCAACATTCCATGTGACTGCACACTACACTAATTTCATATGTGCATCACTTCGATAGTACCAAAACAAGCACAAGAGCAATAACACATGATAATGGCAGGAAGTGTAGGATTATCACATATAATTAGTTGCAAGAACTACTTATAGGATTATTGCCTATATTGCAAGATTCTAGGTTTTGCTATAGAGTACTCACCAGGATTGAGAAGACTTTGCTGGCAACCAAAACAATTTTTTGGTAGCCTGTTATGTGAAATGTTCAGAAGTGAGGGAGCCACCTCATCAAACAGTCTTATTGGGAAGAGATGGTGATACGACCTTGCCAAGTGGGGAGAAGAAATAAGAGTCAGCCCACAAATGCGGCATTCAGTAGGCAGATCACAAACGCGTGCTTTGCATCTTGGACAAGCATAGCCCCCACCAACCTTTGCCTCTTTATGACACGAACAAATTGATACAACACCCTCTGCTGCTCTTTGCGGAAAACCCATCTTTATCAAATTCGCAATTGCAAATTCTGATATTGCTGGAGGTGGTGGTGCATGCTCCAGCACTAACTCTTTTAAGTGGGACTGCAGAGAATATATAAATTAGAGTAAGAAAATTATACACATAGACTGCAGAGAATATATAAATTAGACTAAGAAAATTAAACGCATTAGTTTATAAGTTAGAATAAGATAATTTTTTTTGTTCCCCTAGTTGGTACTCACACACACACACCCTCCAAGGAATTGTTTAAATTAGTTAGTTTTATTAGTGTTTTGACTGGTTTGAAGCTCAGAGCTGATGGCATCTTGTTGATTCTCTGCTGATTGCTGCTGCTGAATCTGGTATTGGGCTTTGCAGTGATCTGTCTTTTGTAGCCTTGGTCCCTGTCTTGTGTTTCTTATTGGATTCTTGTTCTTTCCTTATTGTGTTCAGAAATAATAATTATTTTTCTGTTCTTTGTTGGTGGTTGTTCTTTGAGGTCCTGCCTGCTGGGTGTTTCAGTAGGGCTATGTTCCTTCTGTTAAATCTGTTTCTCCTTGGGGCAACTCAAGGAATTTTTTATTGTTAATAAAACTTAACAAAAGAAGAAAATATATATATAATCATGAATGTGATGAACTACAATTTGGAGCATTTGGCACGTTTCTATATTATTACTTTAATTAACACTGTTCAATTAAGTCACTTCTAAATTTCTATGGTTGTGGCTCTCCGCATTTTGAATCACAAGAAGTGGAGCCCCTCTAGTCATTTCCTTTCTTCTTCTTCTTTTTTCCTCCTCCTTTCTCCAACGTATCAATTTTAGTGATTTGGGGATGGATAACACCACCTTAACTAGCAAACTTTTTATGTAAAATACTCTGAAATTTGAAATTCAGTTATATCACTTCCACTGGTTTCCAAATGCGTTATTAGTTAGTTAAACTCACCTCATCCAATGCGACAGAGTATGATCCACCAGTTTCTTGGCAGAGATGTTTACATATAAAGAGCTCCGCAGAGAGACCAATAACTGAACACCTTATTTTAGATTTCTTGCATTTCTGGATGGTTTCCATTATATCTCCAGGATCACAAGTACTTAGAGATGAATAGAAGATGAGAACTTCGCGGTGACCATATGATGGGATTTGATTAAGATTGTCATGGATGAGTTCAAGGGCATTCTGAAGTGAGGAATCACCAGAGCACTCCAATTTACCCGTCAATGCTTTAATGTGCGACTCAGGACTGCCACCAAGATCCGTTAAGAATTGAGCAACCCCGTCTTTTATAGTTACCAGGCCAATTTGACTAAGCGGATTCTGGTCAAAGAACTCCCTAATGAAAGCCTCAATTTGCTTTGCAACTACAGCCATTCGGCTTGGTCGGAAGTCCATCTCTGCAGCTGCCTACACATCAGAATTATAAAATAAAAAAAAATTAAGAATCAAGTAGGAAAATATTATGATCCTTGAAGTTGAGAAATATCATGACTTTCAAATATGCATCGTCCTAGACCATCTAGCTATGATTTATATTATTCTCAAATAATTAACCAATTTTCTGGTCTCCTAAGCTAGTGCCTAATATGTAGGATATGCCTTCGGAGAAGGCTTACCAACACAGAAAAATAAAGTACTCACCGGGGGCTAACTAGATGTAGGTTGCAAATTTTCCACAACCACCACAAATTCCTTAAAATAAAAGAGAATTCCAATCCAAAAGAGGCTTCTAAAGTAAAATTTTAGCTTAAGAAATTATAATTGCCTAGTCGCTTAAACTGCCAACCGTAGTACTTGAAAATAAAAGGTCAATCAAAAGCATTAACCAAACCTTTTTTAGAGTCAATATTTTCAATAAAAAATCAGTCGTTTGAATATTAACTAAATAATTCCAATTTTCATATCATAGTTAGAGAAATGTCTGGTTGGAGTTTAGATATAAATATTTAAAATGATTTTTTTTAATAAGTGATATTTAAAATGACTTATATTTACATAATTTATGAAAGGATATCTAAAATAACATATATCTACATATTTAATTACCTTCAAAATATCAATCCTATTGTCATTAGTCTAAAATTCTATTCCCACTGAACAAAGGTGAGAATATCCAATCTCACAAGATGTGAAATGGGCGGAGATGAAAAAATACATGCTTCTTAAAATGCGGCATCAGTTAATAACCCCTAATGGTCATTGTTTCAAAAGTAGAAGCAGGTTCCAATTGAAAAACATTCCTGGGATTATTAGTAGACTCTTCCTAAATGAAACCCCAAGTGGAATACATTATTATGTGGTTCTGTTTGCCCCAAATCCAAAATGGAATACAAGTCAAGAAGCAATGGAATGAATTCAGTTGATACGGTTTCAAAGTAATTAATCAATTACCCTGGAGAAATCAGCAACAACGTAGAGAAAGCGAATGAGGCCCTTCTGAATTCGAGCAGTAGATGCAGTGGCGGAGAGAGCGCGGAGGCGTCGACGATATTGAGCATGGTAGAGGATTTTGTTGTCAATGGGGCGAAGAAGTCCAGACTCATCCTCTTGCAGAGACTCCCATGACCTTTCATCCGCATAAGCTCTCTCCCAAGCCTCAAGACCTCTCCCATTTTCGTTGTCTTCATCTTCTTCCTCCTGTTCTTCTAGAATTCTGTTAAATTGTCTTCCTTCACCATTGTTGAATTCCCAGTGTTCGATATGGTTCATATTTCTACAAGTAGGGTGCAACCATTCTTTAAATAGTGAGTAAAGAAATGAAATTTTCTGAATAAAAATTAAAAAAGTAAAATAAAATAAAAAAAAAAAAAAAAAAGAACTTGCACTAATGATTCTGACACATTGATGTTACTTATATGACAATGAGATTCCAAATATTGAAGAATGCTTACCAATTTATGTTGTGAAGCCACTATTGAACACATTGGTGAATAAGTACCCATAAACTCATCATTTTGAAAACTTAAATGTTATAGGCAGTTCTTAATTCGTGCATTAATAAGTGAATTTCAGGCCCTATTGCGGAAAACTTCTTCTGAACTAGTAATTTCTATGTCTCAAATTAAGCTACTCAAACCAATTCAGTGTATGCTCTAGAGAGAAAAATATGCAGAGACATATAAGCTCAGATATGAACTATATGTGGCTATTGAATCTGCAAAATGAGGATAGAAATACTAAATTCAGTGTTAAGCAAACACAGAATTAGAATTTCATACCAACGGGCCGGTGGCCTAGCGGTATCAGTCTTTTACGTCTCAAAGGGAGGTCAGGAGTTCAAGTCTAAGTAGAGACGCGTGTGTGAGTACCAACTAGGGAAAAAAAAATTTTGAACTTCATTTCAGGGGGCCACATTAAACATGATAAAATAAAAATTCGTTCCAACTAATATGACAAATATGGGTTGTTCTACCCCCACACACATACACACAAATACAAAAATGCAAAAAAAGAAATCAAGAAAATGACTACTACAAAAATAATAATAATAAATATAATAAAAATTAATTGCAAGATAGAAAACCCGCAAGCCCATAGCTCGTATATGCACACACATATATACACAGGAATCACAAGTCACAATGCATTAAACTCAATGAAATCTCCAACCAAAGCAATTGAAAACATATTCAGTATCAATTATAACCAAACAGGACAAAAAATAAACAACTTAAAATTTAACCCAAAAACCCTCCAAATCCCCAAAACCGCAATCTATCTATCTATATATATATATATATATATATATATACGCGCGCGCGCGCACATAGTACATATAAATCATCACCAAATCCATACAAGACAAGATTAATCATCAAATAAAGTTTCATAAAAAAAAAAAAATTTTAATAAATAAAAGGAAATTGAACCCAAAATCACAAAAAAAAAAAAAAAAAAAAAAAAAAAAAAAAAAAAAAAAAAAAACCCAAACTCTACATATGCCTATACATACGTATACTCATACAACCTCCAAAATTAAACTGAAGCCAATCTCCAACATAAATACGCATCAAATCATGCAAAATAAGCAATAATGACAGTGGAAAAATCCAAAAATTTCAAGAAAACTGAAATGGGTAAAAGAAGTTTTTTGTACTAGCCTTGCCAATCGAAGCTTTAATCCACGGAAGTAAGTTTAAAATAGTGTTGCCTGACACCTTCGAATGTCGAATCGCCTTAGAAAGGGGATTAGGATTTAGGGTTTTTCAGACGACGAGAGTCCTTCAAAGTGGTCGCCTATCAGCTGATCGCCGAGCACTCTTCTGTCCCTCCAAGGTATACTGACCTCTTGTGTTGTTGCAGGTGAAATTACCGCCGAGTTCTAGTTTTCTCAAGACAGGTGTCATAATTTTTTTCAAGACCAATAAGGTTGAAGTTGTTTTCGTGAGTCAGGGTTTCGGAAGATGCCATTTAAAATGAGTGGGAGGGAGTATTTAAGTTTTAAATTATTAATTATTATATAATTGCTAAATAGAAATAAGAAATTTGTATATATTTATTCAAATATTATATAATCTTATACGCCACAGATATGCCCCACAACGGAGGCTAAGGAGTAAACTCTTTTGTATTGTCGGAGATTTCACACCCCTAATTTTTAATTTAATATTTTTATTTTAAAAATATATATTTAATTAATGAATATTACAATACGAGTTTAAATAAGTCAATAAATCCTATCTTTTTATATTTAAATATAATTAATGAATATTACAACATGAGTTTAAATAATAATATTCATTAATTAGATAAACTTTTTTTTAAATAAAAATATTAAATTAAAATTAGAGGTGTGAAGTCTCTAAACATGACAATACGAAGGAGTTTACTTCGCTATCGGGCTAATTTAATAAGAGAATAAATGAAAAGATTTTTAGGAATTTAGAACTAAAAAAAAAAAAAAAAAAAAGGTAGAATTAATTATTCTTAAAGGATTTTTTTTTTAAAATAAAGGTAAATTTTGGTAGTAATTTTTCTTTATTCTAATGAGTTTGCAAAAAATAGAAAAAAAAACTGTTCATAATTTTATTTTAACGTTATGCTCTTCTGTTCTATATGGGATTAGAGTCTAACAGGGACAGAAAGTTTGCAACCAAAGAAAGATAAGACGGTCACGTAGGCCATATACAGGTACAATCTTAAAATCAACATAACTTCAATTTTTTTTGTTGAGAGAGAAGATGGATGTGGCTGAAAAGATTCATGAAGTAGCAGTTCGTGTGTTTAAGTGAACCGAAAATGTTTCCAGTAACAAGATTTCTGAATCTGAAGGAGTGTTGATGCTCCGTCTATCAACCGATGTTATTGTTGGGGGAGTCAAAACTGATTTCACATTGAAGAAGGTCTACGTTTTCCCTTTCGTTCTCGAACACTTGGTGTCTCGAGACTCCTTAGAATCATTGGTCGATTACACAGAAGTTTTCTTGAAAAAGAGTAATGCTTATATTATTTCACAAGTCATATTTAAGCACCTTGTTGCCAATTTTCAGTTCAGTTCCATACTAAACTGGTTTCCTTCAAGAAAGCCCAAGATCGTCGTCGTTGTAGATGCTTTTGTGGAGAGTACATGTGCTTTCAACAACTTTGATCGCGAAAACATCTTCAAATCTTCTTTGCTGGATGAAGATTTTCACGAAGAATGCAGTAGTTGCGAATATGGAAACGTTCTTGAAGTTGAAGAAGAGCACAAAGTTGAGGTCTATGTTGAATTACAAGAAGGAATTGAGGATGATGACTTAATGGTTGATGATGATGAGGTACCAATTAGGAATGACCATTTGGCTAGTCTAACAAGGTTAAGGTCTTTTCTAGGTAGTGAATCAATTGCTACCATTTATTTTAAAGAAATTGAGCCTGCAGTGAAGGTGTACCGATTGAATGATTGATTATATTGGGAGCACAAGTGTTCAATGTGTCCACTTGAAAAGCTTCATAGGGTCTTTCTGTCCAGGTACAGGTAGTCCGCATCTTCACAGACATGTTTATTTCACCGAGCCTCTCTCCGAGACAGTGCCCAGATCGTTACACCTTTCGTGCGGGTCGGAACTTACCGACAAGGAATTTCGCTACCTTAGGATCGTTATAGTTACGGCCGCCGTTTCGGTCGCCGGCTTTCCTGTCATCAGGTCACCAACTTCCTTGACCTTCCGGCACTGGGCAGGCGTCAGCCCCCGTAAGACTTTGTGGAGACCTGTTTTTTTTGTTAAATAGTCGCCCGGGCCTGGTCACTGTGACCCCCTTTGTGAGGGGGCACCCCTTCTCTCGAAGTTACGGGGCTATTTTGCCGAGTTCCTTAGAGAGAGTTGCCTCGCACCCCTACTTGATGGGGACAGCAATTGCAAGAATGCCATGTTCACATGTATTCCATAATGATTGCTTGTGCGTGTGGTTGCCAAGAAATAATACCTGTCCAATGTGTCGAACACTTTGCTCTACCATAGTTCATGTATAATTGATATTGTTATGAACCATGGTTCATGTATAATTGATATTGTTATGATTTGGTGCTAAAGGCCTCTGTATATCGTTTGTGATTCAGTTGATACAAATGCGAAAATTTGGCAACATCTAATTTGAGCAGGTGGCCAATTCCCTAATTTGCTGGAGGGCTTGGATCTCATTTTTACATGTTCCTTCTAAGCAGTTTGAACACCTTTAGCGTGTTCATTTTCGTGGGAAATTTCTTGTTTGTGGGCTAGTAACCATTTCACATATATTTTCATTCCTTTGACTAGTAAACTTCTAGTGAAATCAATAAGCTAAACAGATCTTGGCAGTCACTTGTTTCATGTTGTATATTGATAATTACTTAAAACAATTAGTTTCTTTTAATTATTACTAGTTTCTTTTACAGTTTTAGAATTTTATTTATTATAAAAACGATGCACTCCAAGGGCAAATATTTCAGAATTTTTTTATGAATTTTTTTTCTAGTTTGTTGTTTCAAACTACCCTATCTTTGTAGACTCAAGATAACCCTCGTTTTTTGTGAATGATTTTATCGTTTTTGCTATGTCGGTATCAAACTTGACGGTGAGTGATCATTTTGGTAGCAACCTAGCCAATCACAATGAGACACGGAACCATATAAAATTTTGATAAATATAAGATTTGAAAGAATATTTTTGCAACAAAGACATTTTCTATCACATATAATTTAAGGAGATTTCCTGTAATTTACCCATTATTTTGGGTTCGTCGACAAAAGTGAATAATCTTTTATCATTTTCAACCCTAATCATAGTTCCAAATTACAACGATTGACATAAATATTAGACAGATAACTGAAGCTCGAACCCTAACCTCCCTTTGGAAAGTTAAGACCTGGTAGCTCGAACCCTTACTTCCCTTTGGAAAGTTGAGACCTGGTACCGCTAGGCCACTGGCATGTTGATAAGGTTGTTAAGAATTCTCTTATTAATGTTTGACCAAAGATATTAGTGAGACCATTTATATTCAATTCAGAAAAATTTTAAATTTTGTGTTTGATTTGAAATGTTCAACTAAGTTTAAGAGAGTTCTTAAAAAATTTCACTCTTCAGCTAAACATTCAAGGGGATCCAAAAACGAAGAGGATTCTTTGTTGGTTGTTCTTCCCTTCTACCTTCAAGAGACGACATCTTAGGATATCAATCATGTCTTAGTACACAAAATCAACCATGACTCAACCATCCACACACACACATATCAGTAGTGTGTGCAGGTAGCATGCACACATATAGACCAACCAAGATCAGCAGTACCCAAAAAAAAAAAAAAAAAAAAAAAAAAAAAAGCAAAAAAAGAAACAGGATCATCAACCCTGGGTTGAGTCCTTTTACTTCAGCAACCTTGATGACATCTCCCTGCTCATTGATATAGCGATTTTGAGGAACTCAACCAATCAACAAAAAGGAGAATTTACTTACCGAAGAGCGAGAGAGAGAAAGAGAGAGAAAAAAAAAAAAAAAAATTGGAGAATTTATATTTATCAAAAATTAGGCACACCCTGATTTGGGATATAATTTAAGGGCCACCAAATTAAGTCACTAGAAATCCTTGTAGTGCGCATCAGAAGTAATTCACCCTTAAAATTGCATCTATGGCACCCTTAGGGAAAGGTTAGTGCACTAACAAACAGGGTTATCACAATGTGATGTCATCGGATGATAAACTTTTAGCCCTGGGTAAAAATAAAAGTAAGAGTCTGTAAGAAGTACAGACCAGAAGAAATACCATCACAAAACATAAACTATTCTCCAATTCTCTGCTACGAGCTGTCACCTCAAGTTTTATAATTAGAACAACCAGAAGTGCAACTTCAAGTTATCATCAAAGGACCGCGAAAGGGGCATCTCTAAAAGGATCGGACTTCTCGAGCATGCAAATTAAAAAAAAAAAAAGTTGTAGCTAGGAGTCTTGCATCGATGCACGTCTCGCGAGTTTCATCTGGCCCAACATGTTCAGAAGGATCATCATGCCTTGTTGACATGCATACATTGATATTAGTCCTCTGTACTTCAGAGTTAACCACAACATGCCTTGCAAGTTTCTTAGTTTTCAGTTTCCGGATCAAGAACTGGGAGAATGCGTAAAGCTGACGAACCAAGATGCATGCCCCGAACTATCCCTCCATATCCAATCTTAATCCTATGGCACATAAGCAATATGGAATCCCATAGTGTTGTTCTTCCCTGAAAATAAAGACCAATAAAATTAGGGGAAAAAAGAGAGACCAATAGTGTTACTTTAAGACCAATATAATATAACAATTCTGTGGACGATTTATATTATTGACACATTAAGGTTAAAAACTTTTAGAGCATGTGTGCGCGTACATGATGAGAGGAATAATGCTAGGAAATGCCATTAATTTGTAGAAGAATTTAAACAACACTGTAGATGACCTATAAAAGGCAGCTAACAGTTATGTCCTTCATCTGGTCAAAAAATGGCAACCATCCTTATTGTCAGCTTATCCAACCGTTTGAGGTTAGCCATGGTCCCTTTGTAGGTTTTTCCCCTTTCTGACCTTTATGGCTGTAGAAAGTGCACCCCATATGATAAAAAGAAATTTTAAGTTTTCTTTTCAGGGAAACAAGTTATCCGTCTCTGCCTGAGTTTATCACTTATTGTTGCAATTTTAATGTTTTGTGATTTTTTTATTTTTTATTTTCCTTTTTTTCAACAGTAACACTCCACACAATTCAGCATAAAATAATTTTCAGAACCATTTACCTCATTTTATGGTGTTTGGTGAGACCCGAAGATTTGGGGAAATGTTTCAGTTTTAAATCATTTTGCAGTGAACAGCCCAAATTCAACTAAAGGACTTCATTTCCTTGATGCAATATAATTACACGAGTGACATGAAGTATTAAAAGCAAGTTCCATAAATGCACTGCAGAGTTCAATTCCACAGTTTCTATATTGTAAGTTATATAGCAGAAAAAGCTTATAAACGTTGTCTTTGTAACTTTGATAGCTTAAAGTGTAGTTCAGTACTAAATCCAGTTCAAGGTTCCATGTCATGAGTTTTTCTGGTTTCGATTATGCCCCAACAATCCATTGTATTGGAAATTATTTTTTGCTCCGATTCCCAAAAGTATATTAAGGCTAACATATGATCTTTTCAACAATAGTAAGTTAAGTTTCTATCCAACATGATTTGTCAACCAGATATACTGCATCTCTATTCAAAGCATGATAATTGGAACGTTGAGAAAAGTCAACTTAAAAGAAAAGAAAGGATTAAACAAAGAAAATACTCATGTGACAATCACTATATTATTTTAGTAAAAATATGCAAGCAAAACGGCAAAAAAAGAGAAAAAGAAAAAAAATAGTATCAAATATGATATAAGTTACAACCAATGTAACACGGTAACATATTAGGATATTACTTGCCTGAATAGAGAACTGTGGCTTCTTATCCCAGTATAATGCAAAGATCGGGGGGGTTTGCCTTCCAACAGCCAATATACAAGCTCCTGGATGAAGGGCAGAAGGCACACCAGATATGACAGCTAAGTACTTTTCAGGAAACCTTTCTTTTGGAGGCAGAACACCCAGAAATAAAGGATTCTTGCTAGACTGTGCTCCTGCATAAGATGTAGGATCCACATGCAACATCCACTTTGGGTGTTCCAGGAAAGCACAGAATAGATACAAGAGCAAGTGAGAATCAGTAGGAAGCTCCAGAGTCCACTTCTTGTTCACTTTGTCATAAACTTCCCCATTTCCTAGATATTCATAGTTCTTTAAGCAGGTTCCTTCCGCAAGCTCTGAGAAAATTTGACAAGCGGGTGATGAAAGGATAAGTTACATGTCCAAATTGTTCCTTAATATCTACCCATTTTTTCTTTTCTTTTCTTTTTTTCCATAATCTATTCCAGATCATTATGGGAGAGAAAAAATAGGCAAGAAGCATACAGTGAGAGATTAAGAATACAATTACCCCTAATTCTTTGTACCGTATAATCTGCACGGACACTGCTTTGGGGTAACAAACCCTTAGCCCACTCTCCTTTCATTAAGGCATGAAGCCTCTGGTGCTCAGTGATGGCATCAATACACTCCTGTATAATAGGGATCAAAGGGTTCTGTTGTGGGGATTGTTGAAAACTCCCCAAAGGCAACTTTGCTGCAAATTACGAGAAGATATGCATGAAATTCTCTTAAGAGATCTATAAACAAGAAGGATCCAGCAATCTGAATATTACAAATGATAAAGGTGAAGCAACTTACGCATTGAAGCATCAAGAGCTTGCACAAGAGTAGCACGCAACTGATGAAGAAGTCCTTCTTCATCAAGAGTATATGCTGGCTGCCATTCATTAGTCCTCTCAATTGGAGAGACAGTAGTAGAAGTCCCCGTAGTTGATAGGTCACTGCCGACTTGACTGATTGTAATTGAGATACCAAGTTTAGTAGCTGCTTGCATTACCTGCAAGAACGAGAAACTGAAAGTATATAAGCATGAAACAGATTAAAATTGCACTGAGATTTTATCTTCTGTGATCCCATCACACCAAGCCTAGGGTGCCACTCCAGGAGATAAAATTATAATGCCTCATTAAAGTGGAGTGCGTTGCTCCAAACTTTTCCACTCTATTCTTTTCCTCCCAACAAGAGGTACCTTCACAATATGATTTGACCTTTTATGGGTGCTTGCAAGTCTACAAATAAAAAATTTCTTGTTCCTGCCACCCTATTTCGAAAATAACTCCTTAGACTTTAGCCTCCAATTGAACTATTCAAGGCGTTTGCCTCCTTAGAGGTACCTCCTCAATTTCCCTTCCTGCCTGCTCATCTGAACCCCAATCCACTCCTACCCATACTACTTTTAATTTTCAAAAAATCATTGATAACTTACTAATGATATCTTTCCACTAATTTCCCCATTTCAAGTTATAGTTTCTTTTCCTTTTACAATTCACAAATTCCAAGTTACACATGGCACCAAATGATGGAGAATATTTCCCACCAAATCTCAATGTGTTAAGAAACATACTTATTGAATACATAGCAATATAACTAGTTACTAGATATAGTATGGGCACCGACTTTCTGGACATATTTGCACCCATATTAATAGCAATGCAACCAAACTATTAGAAGATAAGGTGCAGGAAGGAAGACAATAATATCATTAGATAATGACACACCTGGATGTGACTGGTTTCAATTTTGTTAAGTAGAGGATTTAGCAAAAGAGAAGAAAACCACTGTCTAAGGCGGTCACGCCATAGCTCAATCTGAGGATAAATGCCCAGATGCTCAAAAGCTTCAATTGACTCTTCCATGGACATAGGTGGTGGAAAGTCACCCTCTCCTTTCTTAGGGGGAGTGCTGAACTTCTGGGAACCAGGTGACATCCTGACAGGCCTCAACGGTGTACTTCTTGTAGTTCCAGAGGTGTTAGCTGAACTTGCAATGGTATTAGGGCTGGCTATGCCAAACCCATTAATGGTGGGCGGTGGAGTTGCTAGTTTACTAGCTGATTCAGATATTTTCTCGCCAACATCAACCAAAAACTGCTCAAGCCTTTCTTCTGTCGTTATCTCTTTAGAAAAGGAGGTTCGCTTATTCAACCAAGGGGTGGTGACTAATTGATCGAAACCTGGTGAAGTCTGATTAGAAGGTAACTGAGAAGCAGCTGCAGGGGCAAGAAATAATGGTGATGAAGAACTCGGTGATTTGGATGGCGTATTGAAAGAGTGCATCTTACTCCCGCTATTGGAATTTGATTTGTTGCCACTAATACGAGATGAACGATTTGAAGTAATAACTGACTGATGAAGTGGGACAAGAACATCCAGAGGAGATGCTGTGTTGGATTTGGATTTAGGAGGTCTCTTTGAAGGTTCAGATGAAACCTGTTCAACCTTTGGCCTCATTCCTAAAAGCCCTAGTTGTCGGTTTGTAAGACATGTTTGCTCCTTCAATCCTTTAGATGGTGATATAAATGTCAAACCAGCATTCTTTTCTCTCCACAGGAGAATAGCTTTTACAAGGGCAAGCATGGTTCCAATTAGAAAGAAACCCACCATAGTTTGCATTGCTTTGGCAAAAAAATCTGAAAAACAATAACAAGATATTTGAAATCACATTATAACAATCAGACAATGCATTAAACTAAGCAAGACAAGCCTTTTTTTTTTTTTTTTTTTTTTTTTTTTTTTGATAAATAAAAGTGTATTAGAAGGCGTTCAAAAGGGGAACGCATCCCAAGAGCTGTACAAGAACTAAGCAAGACAAGCCATTTGAACTGGATTACTTACAAGCAACCTCTTCAGAAACATATCTGAGTCTCAAACAGTCAATAATCCCATTTTCCCTTCAAAAATTCAAGATAAGTTATTACATTAGCCATATGAAGTTGACAACATATAAAACAATTTTCAGGACATGAATTCTTCTATTTTTTGAACTTATTTTGGTTGCTTCCAAACCGAAGAAATATAAAATGAATAAAATAATTAAGACTTATAAAAAAAATCTGCTGTTTCAGTTCTTGAAATAAATAAAAATAACTAAATAATTCAGTCAATCATATTCTTATACATGTTTAGTACAGAATTTGGTTTCCTTAAAATTACAGAGCAAAACAATAGCAAATGTTAACCGTCAAATTTCATCACCTATTCTTTTTATTAGGTTTCCTCAGCGCAACCAAACAACGGCAATAAATTGATATAATCAAAAACACATTTTTCCCCTAATGCCACACAATCCTAAACCTCCAGTTGCTTTCTGGAAAGAATAACCTGAAAATAAAATAAATGGCCCAATCCTAGGAATCAATCTTTAATCATTCATAGGGATTTCCTTCTCCTAGGTCGAATTCCTTTCAAAATCCAAACTAAAAAAATAACAAAAAGCATGTGAAATAAACTCTAAAGGATGTAAAAATAACATGCAGGAGATCCCAGGCCTCGGTTGAATTCAACCCAAAAGGCTGAACACTAGGAGGTTGTAACAACCCAATATAAACCCCTAATTTCTCAAACTGAATTATAAAATAAGTGAAAATATATCTGTGCGTGTAGTAAAAGCTTTTATACTGCTCAAATTAATATAAATAAAAAATAAAAAACAATCAGAGTTGTACAAAACTCATAGCAAATCTAGTTTCCAATTATCGTCTTGCTTATCACCCAAAATAAATTAAAAAAAAAAAAAAAAAACAACAACAATAACACTAGTTTCCAGTTGAGCTACACTATACTGACATAAATACATGCAAAACAATTTACTATATTTTCGAAATACAGAACTCGAAGCTGTAAGAAATCAATAGAAACTCTAGCTTCCCAAGTACAATAAAATACATATATACAAACATAAAACACACGCATATGTACCTGGCAATGAAGCTGAGGAGAGCGACGGCGGAGGCGATTGAGAGGGTTAGGATGCGGATGAATGTGGACTTAGAAGGGCGGAGACTGGTGGTGGTTAGGGCAGCGGAAAGGGCTGGGTTCTGGTACACCGCGAACTTCGAGGGCTTCGATGCGGGCGAGCCCTTGTCTCCTCCTCCTCCGTCCATGGTGGAAAATTAGGTTTCGTTTTGATCAGACTGTGAGAGAAACCGCCATGGTACACACTCAACACAGCCTAATTGATTTGTCTTTCAAAATAGTCTAATTTCGGTCGGATATTGGAGGGAGCGTCCGAGTCCTGGACCAATAGTAATTAATTACCATATAATGGGCTTTCTTTCCTTGCAGTGCTATAAATAATACTTTCCAAAAAAGAAAAGTATTTTGTTATTAATTTAGTGAATAATATTTCTAAATTAATATTTAATATTTAATATTACTTAATAGTGCAATCATATAATAATAATAATAATTATTATTATTATTATTATTATTATATATGCCGCCAATTTATTTTGTAAAAGGGTAAAGTGAAAAAAAATCATACTATATAAAAAATGTGTAAAAAAACTAATCCATTATTTAGTAATATGAACCAACATTTAAAAATTTGTAGCAAATTGCCATATGATTAATTTTAATGAGAAAGTTCTCTTAAAATCCCACAATATCCTTCACACATCGGTTAAAGTTTTGGACATTTTGTCTTTTCATTGTTTTTATTTTTATTGGAAGTATATTTTAGATATTTTAATTACTAAATTGATAGAAAATGTCATAAAGAGTGTATTTTGCACTTTACGTTTGTAAAATTAATAAAAACTTTAAAAATAGTCTTAAGCCACAGAGATCATTTTATAAATAAGTTTATTGTCGAGAAATAATAAAATGTATTTTGAACATTACGAAAAAAAACGTTAAGACCCACCTGACTTCTTTTGAATTGTCTTTTTCTAATATTGGAAAATTATAGTGGCTTCCATTAATCATTTCATGGATTTTTTCATTGAAAATAAATATATATATATATATATATATATATATATATATATATATATATATATAAAATAAAATAACTTCTGAAAAAATGCTCTCTCTCTCTACTTCCTCTAAGGCCACACAATTTTATTACATCAGTAATTTTAAATTTTTGGACATCAATTTTGTCCATATACAATATACATTTTTGTTTGCAGTTTTAAGTAAATTTCTTTTAATTTTAAATTCATACAATCGATTCGATTCTCTTATACATAAAAAGTGATGTTAAATTTTGTCCAAACTACAAGGTAAAATAAAAAAATTTCCAACATCAATTTCAATCCATTGTATTGAGTGTGAAACTCAATATATATTAAAATAAACCAAACTTGAGCACATTTTTCATAGTGTCAAAGTTGGGACTTGATTTTCAACTTTAAGAGTCACACTACAAATGCATCTAAGGAGAGCCAAACCTTTTACTATGGGTTCTTTCGCCTATACTCCACTAACTTGCAGTCTTGTTCATCACCTTGAATACAAATTTTTTTTACAAAAAAAGATGCATTACACCAGCATTCTTGATCATGTTACATGCTTGAATGGTCAATTGATATCATACAAAACCATGGTGCAATTTTAAAGAGAACGATCAGGCTTTAAAATCATATCAACCACAAACCACATTATCCAAAAAAAATTACTTGACCAGAATTATTTTTTTCCTTGACAAACTAGGAAAAGGGGAACTCAAACACAGACAAGCAATTGGGGAGCTAGGCACTCAACCAACTAGGCCACTAGATAATGCCCGCCCAAATCACAAAGCTTTTTCAGATATCAACCAATCAAAAGTCATAGACTGGCCTTTTACCTAGCAGAGGGTGTATCAAGAACCCGAGGCACATACCAAAAAAAAAAACCACTGGTGATGTGCTACACTATATTAAAAGGTGTTGAAATCATGCATCTCATTTCACAAAAAAATTAGGGTTCTTGCAGTAATATATTTCTTGTGCAGTTCTCAACAAAATGAACAGGTTCTTGCAGTAATAAATTTCTTGTGCAGTCCTCATGATGATGTGCTACCCTATGTTACTGGAAGGGCTAATAAGTGCTTCCATTTTCTCAACAACGAGCCTAAAGTATAACATCTACACAAGTGCTTGGTCATATTTTGCACTCACACATGCACACATATTCCACATTACCAGTAACATTATTACATACCATTGTTAAGAAGACAGACTCAAGTTTGAAAATAGTATCTTCCAACTTAGTCGTCAATACACTCTACCGAGTGCAAATACTAGACTGGGAATTCCAGAGAAGAAAAGTAACTAGGTTTGCACATACTAACACACAAGCATAATACTCGAAACAAGCCTGGACGTCAAATCCTAATAACCGATGGAGAAGTATCTGACTGGCCCACTGATGAAAACTTCGACACATCCATTGTAGCTGGTGGCTCTTCCAAGCAACTTTGAGTGTCGTCGCTGATCATTCCTAGTGACAGCTTCTCTACTTCTTCTTTGGTATATATGTGGATCTTGGACACCACGTTACAGAACTCGCTGCAAGACAAATCATAAAGGATGACTAAAATAGCTAAACATGTCCAAGTTTCATTCTAATGAATCAAAATGAACAGGTTTCAATAACGTGCTATTATATGTTATGATTGTGGGCACAATGGCCATTATTTAATAGTTGAATTTTATTAATTATTACATATATTATGAGATTATTGTTTTGAAAGAAATAAAGCATTCTTTCCAATTAAACAGTACATGTTCTATATACCAGAACATATCTTTTTTGCATAGAACACTATTGTGTAACATAGAGGTGCTAAAGTGTCTGCTAAAAATCATGTTTTGTGCTATAAAAAATTAGAAATAACTACCAAGTAAACTGTTCTTTTCAAGAGAAACTTACTGCCATGGATCATCCCCAACAACCATCATGTCATTTTCACTGTCGGTGTACAAGATTCGCCATCCTTTCTCCGGATCTCGTAAGAGGCCTTCCATGCTAAATAGCTGCTCTAGTTCAATTACCAGGTCATTGTAACCATTCAGTCTTGAGAGATCAACGGCTCTTCCCACCAAGCTGCCTTGCTTGTGGACCTTTACTTAGATTTATGTCACACCAATGAGAGAGAATCATGAAAAGCCAAATAAAAATCTAACTCAGCTGATTTTCAAACTTACCTTTGTACAACTCCTCTTGCCAGAACTTTGAGGGTTTGGAGTAAAGGTTTCTCCGGTCAAGGAAATCCCAAACAGTTTGCAGCCAGTCAAGCTGCCATTTGAAGAGTCATCCTCATTTTTGAAATTTGCCACCACAGTAGGAGCAGCAGATATCTTCTCCTGTGATGTCTGTTCACTCGGCAGATTAGGCTTTCTAACTTCATCCCTAAGAACCCCACTCCGGATAGAAGACGGGATGAATGGAACATTTTCTCTTGGGAAGTTAGTGACATAAGAGAGCATTGAGGGATCTTGGCCAGCCTTGTAGATGTCACTATAAGGAAAATACATGTTTCTAACACCTTCCGAAGCTAAGGGATAGAAATTTGGTTTGGGCCTTTGATACATGTTGAAAAAGTTGCAACCAATATCTTGTTTTCTCCAAGCACCAAGGTTGAAATCAACTTTTCCTGCCAATGATCTCAAAGAGCATATTTCTTGACCTTGCAAGACCTTCGGAAACCTATTGGATTCCGGAAAGCCTGAGTAAGCAGTGGGCTGAGCCCTCATAAACTCGCTAAAGTTTGCCTTTTCTGCTCCAGTTGATGCAAAATTTTGATGTGCTGAAGTTTGCATCTCAAAATCTAGAGGGCGGTTCACTTTATCACATCCAAAAAGAGGTGATACAAAACCTACATTTTCTTGACCTTGCAAGACCTTAGAGGATCTTAAAGACTCCTCAAAGTCCAAAAACCCACTCCCTCCTGTCACAAGAAACACCAGCCTCTAAGCTACATGAATTGAAAATTATGAACAAGAGAGTGCTAATATTGGAAACCTAATGGGAAGATTCATACCATTAACAGGGTTGTCGGTTGGGGTTCCCTGCGGACTTGTCCGCAGTTTCTTCAGCCTTGTGGAAGACTGGATACTCAAGGGTGGGAGAGAAACAGAAAGATCAACCTCCCATGGAGAAACTCGTTCTTGAAGATCACTTACAATATCGTCATCCCATCTGACCTGTTAGATGTCATGACAGGAAGGCTCGTGTTAAAGAAGTCGCAAAAAGGCATTGTCATAAAAGAACTCAAATATTGATTTGTTTTGTTTTTATTATGCGCGTGTAGCAGCAATGTCCAGCAATGGGGCACTCAAGGACGACTCCTACAACAAAATCTGCCTTTTTATATGTTCTTTTACAATGCAAAAACAAGGGTAATCTTCTGGACAATCAAACCTACAGAATGGGGAAAAGGATGGTTGTGATTAGATAATTTAATCATTATGGGGCAAAGGATGTCTTTTAGGTCAGTTTCATAGATGGTTGCCTTCATGAAAATTTCACAGAATCTTTTTTTAGACGAGTCTTTTGGTCTAAAATTTGATGTTACTGTCAGATCGATGCTATGACATTACAGATGTTAGGTGACTCTTTATTGAGAAGAGGCTCATCAACCAACAGGATACTGAAACACAAGAATCTGCGGGATCTATGAAACTACTACTGTCTAATGTATCTGTTGCACTAGCAATCTACACACGGCACAGGACCAACATGTACCAAGTCTGAGAAATATAAGAAGCATATTGCAGGGACATAAAAGAAGAAAACTATAGTGCATTGAATATGTCAAAAGCTCATGGAAACTGGGACGTAGTGACATGTAAAATGAACGATCTGTCAGTATGTGTATTTAAAGCAATTGTAAACAAGACTATTTTAATAAAATTTCTGAGCAATACTTTACAAACGATAGAAATTGAAAATTGTACCATCAAGCATCTCCATTTAGAGTTAGTCCATTTAAATGGATCCGAATCACCCATTCCAGTCACCACGCCACTGCACCTGAAAGACATCTCAATCTAGTATCTCTCGGAAGAAGACCTTAATGAGTAAAAAACATACTGATATTGAATTAAATTATACAAAACCTTCTTTCAGGCGAATCATCCATGTCAAATGAGATTTTGAATCTTGTCCCAATGCAAATCGGATTGGTGATGCTTCTTACATATTTTTGGTAAGGTACAACAAACTCTGCATGACTGGCCCTGCATTTCAGAGTATCTGGGCATGTTACAAACTTCTTATATCATGTATATGTCAACCCAAACATGAGTACCAAAACTTCCAAGAAACAGTGGCACGTCAATTAGATTGGATCCAACGTATATATACATAGAGCATATAGAAAATGCTACCCAAAAGGCTCCTAGTGGCTCAAAAGTTTATTCTGTATTAATTGTGGGAAATGATGACTGGTTCAATCTAGAATACCTATAAGCAAAAGCAATGAATAAAATATTGGAGTGCAATTTCAGTCAGCTCAGAAATGGAAACGTTTGAGAATGCAATGAAATCACAAAAAAGAATTTAGGAATGCTCAAAAAATTCAGCTAAATCTTAGTGAGCATAGAAAATCTAAATAATGAATGATTGAATATATTTTACGCGTACTCATCCACCTATAGAAAATATCACATTATGGTGGAGTAGAGGAGTAAACGTAAATGTTAAAAATTATCAAAATAATGAAAATAATTCTGTACCGGCAATGGACATTTAAACTGGCACATTAACATATCAGGTATAAACAATACATGAAGCAAACACATTGATACATGTTACCAATCTGACTAAAATAATGAGCAATTGCCATGTAAAATAATAAAGCATCTCTCCCTCTTTCTGGGAGAAAACATGGGTACTGGTTTTTTTGGTCTATTATTGTTGTGGATGTGAACAAAAACTTTAACCAAATTAGTATGTTTCAACCATTTTTCAGTGTTCAATAGGAACAGTTTTATTTCAGTGAAAGCATATGAATTTGACCATATTTTGTTGTGCTTCACAAGAAATAAACATTTTAGCCATTTCAATAAACCAAAACAATATTTTAATCCATGTTTATATGTGAGATCAAAAAATTAAAAAACCTACAACGCTATTTAATGCAATGAACTGATGGCAAAGGATTTGTAGGCATTAATTCTTTATGGATATAGTTAATTAGGTTCTCAGATGACCATAAAGTGTCATGCAATCCATGGTGTGTCTTGTCCAATAAATATATTTAGATGCAATTTCCAAATCCATGAATTTTTTCCATCTTCACCTTCTAATTGATTATAGCTTCCCTCTTCCCAAACGTAAGAAATATTCATTAATGGTGATATGGTTTCAGAATTTTTGTGCTCATGTCCTTATTGGAAAACTTCAATATCTAAACTTACCGGTAGCATTAAAAGAAAGTTAGCAATATTGTAAAATTCAGACAATAGAAACCTTAGGATGGTATAAGTTGAGACAAGTGTATGCAACAACCTACAAAGAAAAACACCACATCCATAAGGAATTCTGTGATGCTCATTTCAAGAGAAACGATAGTTTTATGGAAGTTTTGGTGAATGCGTGTACTTCCCTATGTCTAAATGATATTTATTCAGTTTTCCCTGAAAATCTAAAACTAAAATAACAACAAAAAAAAAAAGTAGGAAAACCAGTTGGTTGATGTTATAGTAAAGGGTAGAGGTTTGGTAAAGCAACGAAAAATTAACAAAGATAAGGAAGTACTTTATGCTGATATTTATTTGTGTACAGAAGAAATGCTAATGGGATATAGAAATGTGGGCCATATAAAAGGCCATTAATGCATGCTCTGGAAAATTTATCCACGAGAATTAACAGCAGAAGAAATATATTAAAGAATATAATTTGATAGATATAGATAGAATGATGAGATTGCAAGTAATTCAGTTGTGTGTGCATGTCTACATAAATTACTACATACATATTAACTTTTAAAATGTTCACTTACATAATGGCCGGCAAAGCAAACTTGTCAGCCAAAGTGCTACGCACAGAAGATACACCCCAGCATGCAGGTGCAAGCATTTAAAGCAAGTGGGTTTCCCCAACAAGAAACTGACAGCCATGGTGAACATGCACCCGCACAAGTGAGGGCACATAGTAGGCAAATGTTGGTAGGTGCCAATTCAATGGCGTCAATTGCCATGTGGATTGTTTGTAAGACTGCCACATGGACTGGTCAATGCAAATGTTGGATTGATACGTGAACTATTCACTTAGGTGTGACGATTTAGGGAAGCAATGTGGTGCTTTGATTATCTTTGATCCTAAAGTTGATGCCCAAAACACACCTACAGGCATGGTATTTTCCCATTCATATCAGGAAGCCACAAGTCCAGAGTAATCAGAAATAGAGAAGGCACCCTGATGCTTTACAGTTTACACTTGCCCAAGGTTGGCAACAGGGTACTAGGTACCCATATACAATGAAATGGTCTGACGATAAAGTAACATGGTCCCACACCATGCCACCGCATTGGGATGACTGGAAATTCTTAATTCGGTGATAAAACGGGGGGCAAGCTAAGGAGGGTCACCATTCCAAGAATGGCTCTGAGCAATCATAGAAATGGCAAGGGCAAGCATCAGCTGGTCCAAAAGAGAGTGGAAAGGCATCTTCGGAGATTTGTAGTGTTGCACGAAAAATTAGTTCTGGGCTTGACAGGTCATGTTTATGCAGGCCTCATAAGGACAATACTGAATCAGTAACATGCTCAGCTTCGGTGCACTTGTCCCACTTCCCTCAAAGCCTAAGCTCCCTTCAGTTATGGGTCTCAATTGCACATTAATGGAAAAATAAGCTCTCTTTTAATAGTGGATACTAATCTAACCAAATTGTTATGACACCAGAATAAATTGTTTGCATTAGCAATTTGTTCAAGAGAAAATAATAATAATTTAATTGAATAAATTGTTTACACTGAATTCTGTTTTCTCTTTCTAAAATTTTGTACCTTGTACCATAAGGAAATTACACATTAAGCACAAACGAGAACCCTCTCATACAAAGTTTGCAACTTTCATTCTGTATTGTAACCATGGTCACACTGGCAAGCTTCATGCCAAGTTTCCAATTATTTGGAATTGGCCGATAGTTCGTAAATAGAACATGCAAGAGTTATGAACTATATCATAAGCTTTAGGCGAAAATAAGCTTACTAGAATTGTATTTCTATTGCTCTCACAGATAGCATTGCCATTCCAAAATATTTTTAAAAGCCATGAAGTCAGTAAAGACAATGGAACTGCAGGACTACAAGTGTAACTATATGCTAAGTCATATCATTTGAAGAAGAGATAACAGCTGGACTAGTACCTTGGGCTGTAGAAAACATGAAATATGCTATTGGTGGATACAGCATTTGCCACTAGAGAAAGAACGTTGAGATTCTGGTGGCCAACAATTGAAGTGGGAAGACCATTTTTAGGTCGAGCAGCTCTTCTAATTCCCAATCTCAGCTCCCCACCTTCACCCCTACAAAGATCATTATACATAGAAGAGGGCTTCACTTTTCCATATGAGAGAAGAACACTTGAGGTCAATCGGATGCCAAACAATAAATAAAATATTTTCCGTGCTTTACATAGCATTAATTTTATTTCCCAATTTAGTAACGTTTGAATGCTCTACTCCATATCACACATAGGACATCAACCATAGGATTTAAGAAGTGTATTTTTTTCCCATTTTGTCCGGTATCGTTCTTTTTTGGCATTTTGTTGATCAAGGCCATTAACTAGTGTGATCGTAGTTAATTGAAGGTGTTGGAAAGGGTAGACTCAGCATACTTAACGTTTTGTGTTAATAAATCAAAAGGTGGGAAAGACAAAAATTAAAAATTTGAGCCTTCTTAGAGGACCAGAGAAAAGGATGTATTTAATAAAAAGAAACAATTTTGACCATTCTTGTGGAAAAGAAACTTTAATAAATTATCATTTGGTTTCCAAACAACTCATTAGAAATCTGATTAAACATATATACCTCAAAAAGAGAACTGCATCCCCTGAAACAAGATTCTTCTGGCTTACAAAAATACTCCATCCTGTAGTAAGCAAATGTCGCCTTGGTTGACCTGAAAAATAAGTACTGAAATTTATGAAATCTCTCTTTGACATAAAACGTTGCACATTTCCATCCATTACCTCTATAAATATGTCGAAACCTCCATTCCACTCCATGCAGGTCCTTCGCAACTAACTCCTGAGAGGGCCTTTGCTGTTTATAGTCCTACATTAAAAGAAATACCATAAGTTTATGAGAAGCCTCAACTGGAGTTTATCAACTAATCTACCTAATAATGGTACGGAGAAAAATGCAAGAAAATCACACCAGAGGTGGGAAACAGTCTTCCGCAGCTCTTCGAGGAACAGAGAATCCACCGTGGGTGCTAGTATCAGATGCAGTGAGGGTTTTGCAGAACATGTGAGGGGTTGATTTTGTGGGTGTAATTCCACCCCCATCCTCATCCACCCCCAGCTCTTCATGCTCTTTTCTCTCTAAATTTATACCATCCAACTACATAATAATTATACAAACATTTACATTTTCAACAGATGAATTTTAGCTACCTCTAATAACAAAAGAATATTCTAACAACAAAATTGAGACCAAAACAAGTAGTCACAAAGTATAGAACACACAGCAACAAATATATATATATATATATATATATATATATATAACAACAAAATTGAAACCAAAACAAGGAGTCACAGAGTATAGAAGTCACAGCAACAAAAATATAAATAAATATGTAAATGTAGTGTGTGTGTGTGTGTGTGGAGAGAGACCTCTGGTAGAGGGAGCAAAGTCAGCTTTGTGTAGACCTCATCATTCTCCTTGTTAGCCTGTTTCAAGAAATTTCAGACATCAAAACATAATTGAAAGATGGGCAAATGAGGGAAAGTAAAAATATGTAAGAAAACACAAAGAATCCAATGAAAAAGGACAAAACCCAAAACTTACAAGCAATTGAACATTGACAACCCTGCAGAAGATCTGTGGCTGAAGATCAAAAGTGGGGACTTCTAGGGTTGAAAAAGGAGAGGAGGAAGAGGCAGTCTGTTCCAAGTGACCTTGTGGGAAGTAGACAACCACATTCCCTTTCTTGGGCAGGGTAGTAAGAGGGCCAGCACAAGCATGCCAAAGCTCCATGTAAATAGAGGAAGAAGCAGGGGATGAGGAGGAGGTTGAAGAGCATGAGGAAGTTGTGGAGGACAAACAGCAACAAACACAACCACCACCACCACTCTTGTCACAGTCCCCATTACAGAATGCATTGTTATTCTTCTCCACCTCACTCAATACTGCATGGTTCAGATCAATTTCCATGAAAACAAAAAAAAAAAACCCAATACAGTTGTTGCAGTGTAGCACAACCAAACCAAACCAAGAAAAGCAAAAGAAAAAATAAAATCGAAGTTGGGATATCGAGAGTAATGGAATATTGGGAAATGAAGTCAAATCATGGGAAGGGATTACATAAATTTAGTACAGAACAAGAGTAAAGTGATGACACACAGAAGGAGAGAATTGAAGGGAAGGCTAAACGATGAGAAGGAAGGAGAGGGTGTCAAATAATAACAAGAAATTCGAAGTATGATTCCTCCCCCATTTGCAGTTCTGAGATGAGGGAGCAGTAGCAGCAGACATAGACAATTGCATAGGAAGCACAGAAGCAAAAGGCAAAAAAAGCCAATGTGTAGTGCCCTTTTGGACTTGGAGCCTGCTGAGGGGAGAGAGAGAGAGTGTGAGGAGAGAGAAAGAGAGAGAGACTGTGTTGGGTGGGGGGGACAGTCTAAGACAGTACAGCACCCATACTTCCCCACCTCTCCCCTCCCTTTGCTTTGCCTCAACTTTACCAATTTTTTTTCTTTTTCCTTCTTAATCAATATCACCAATACATTTGTTTTACTGTAAAAAGGAACATTACCTAGTGAAAATAAAAAATCAGCAACACCATGTACATTTGACTCTTTGTAAATTTCATATTACCTATGAAATTAGAAATTAGAAATTAGAAATAGTCTCCCTATGCATAAATAAGGCTACATGGAAATGAGCTCTAACCCTACTAATAATATATTTCACCGCGATCTTAAATTTCATAATACAAAACTAATACCACGTGCATTTGACTCTTTTCAAATTCTAAAATGACATGAAAGGGCATCTTGGGCTAACCCTAACCCTACTAATAATACATTTCACTGTAGATGTGAGGCCCTCCAACAAAGACAGACAAAGGGGGTTTCCATTTCCAATCAATTCAATTTCAAAGAAAACACCAATTTTACTTACCAATGAAAAGCAACTTAATTGCGACAATAAAAACAAACCCATAAAAGCTTACAGTATTGCCGATCTATATTGGTCACAGAGTATAGTTGACATTAATAGTGTGTGTAAGTGGAAAAATAAATAGACACTTGCATTATGAACAGTAATATATAAATTGAAGAAGGAAAAGTAATCTTTACAGTTAACTTTAGTTCAGTTGACACTTGAGAAATCATCAGAAAACACACATCGCAGATCCATTAATCTTTTAATAAAATTAGAGAGAGAAAGAGGAGAGAGAGAGACAGAGTTGTCAATGTAACCGGCCCCCCTTAACTTTGGCACTTTGGCAGCAACTATCATGGGCGTGTAAATAGTTAGGACTCAGTGACTCAGAAGCCTAGCAGTCCCACTCTTTTAAATCTCTCAAGTCTCATCACTCTGTACATATCTATGGGCAAATATAATTGAGAAGCTACACCCACGCGCATTGTATGCGCGTGATGAAAAACACCTGTACATTTTTTTTTTTTTTTTTTTTTTTTTCACACACATGCACAATTAGCTCTTGTATTTATTGGCATTGCCCGTATTTTGAAGGGAAAAAAAATATTTTTTTTCATTTTATTACATTTGTCCGTATTTTGAGCTCCACTTATTCTTTTAAATAATTTTAATATTAAATATATTTAGTTGAATAATTAATCAATCTATTCAAAACTAAATTCTAAATTAAGTTATCAAACAATATTAATAATAATTTATGAATGACAATTCCTAAATGTTGTGATTTTCTTATTTTTTAGAATAGACATGTGTAAACTAATTGGGAGAGATCAAATTGTGAAAGTGAAAACTAAATGGTATTAATTATTTATTTACTTTTATTAAATTTTATGATATTTATTTTTAGATTTATAATTCATTAAATTTTACATAATGGGATGATCGGAATCCATCCTTACCAAAACTAGAATAGTGCACCACGAAATTAAATACTAGTAGTATTTTTCTCTTGATGAATCAAATTCGGCATAGGAGTATCTAGTCAACTTGTCCCACCTGAACCTAATCTAGAGCCAGAATTGGACAAACTCTATATAGAAGTTTTCAATCAAACCTCAAATTGGTAAGACTCGAGTTCAGACTATACTATGGGACAAGCTTAAAAAACAACACACTCAAAATATATTTCCCATAGTACTTTTATACCTTATTTAAAAATATATATAAAAAAATATTCCTAATCTTTCTACATTATACAAAAATATTCTTCAATTAAAAATCTGGCATAAATTAGTATTGTAATACCCATTTTGTCCTTTTGCTCTTCTGAAAATGCCCAAATAGTATATATGGTACTGATCTCATAATATAGGGATATTATGTGCACGTTTCCTTATATTTATTTTTTTGAAACTTTTTTCTTTATATATATCTCTAAAAAAAAATGAGAATTTGTATAACAAGAATTTGAATTTTTTACATTTCAGTTTAATGTTTTCTACTGATTTTTTTTCCCTTCAGTGTGCACTGGTTTTCGGAGTTTGGAGCAGATTTGTTTTCTTTAGTTTGCACTTTATTTTCGTTTTATTTTTTATTCTTTATTTTTATCTTTATTTTTCTTTTATACTTTTATTTTTATTTTCTATTTTTATATTTACTTATCCATTATCGGCGTCCTCTAATAATGTCTGTTTCGATCATTTTACAGAATTATTTATTTTTATATATTTTATACAATGGTTCAGTAAGGATAATTTAGTCAACTTAGGGTTTAAATTTGTCAGAGGGACCTAATTACACTAAATTGAAACTTTAGGGATGTTTTTGCACGTGAGGGGTGTCCTCCAATAACGTTATTTTTTGTCATTTTACAAAATTATTTATTTTTATATATTTTATAAAATGGCTCAGTAAGGGCGATTTAGTCAACTTAGAGTTTAAATTTGTCAGAGTGATCTATTTGCACCAAATTGAAACTTTAGAGGTGTTTTTTACACGTAAAGGAGTGTGATATTCAATGTAAGTATACTTTAGGAATGTTTTCTGCACTTGACCAGTATATAATCTAGTCAACCTATATACCCGAATTGATGCGATGCCTCGAATTAACTTGGGCTAGCTCAGTTCTCTTATCCATCGGGTCCAATGCACTGGGCTCATCTCATGGAAGGAAAAGCCAAAATTTGTGTTGTTCGCCGACTCTAAGCCCTCTCTCCCCGGCATCGTCCCACACAGAAAGAAAGAGCGCAGAGCCCCGGCCCGACTTGTAGGTCCGCTAACGTAAAGCAAGGAGTTGAGCCTGAACTGGCGAACCGAAGTCACTTTTGGAACCATACTTCTTACAGCTAACACGTGTCCTGTCCAGCGGGAATGCGCAACGCAAACGAACGTGAGCTGCTATACCGAAGAATCCCCCGCTGGCCATCGGGGACCGAGTAGTAAGGCCATGATCTGCAGGGGAACGAATCACTCATTCTTCCATTGGGGACAGGTGCACGAACAACAACTCCAAATGTCACACATCCGCTGCCTACCTACCGTTTAGGTGGCAACAGCGAGATCTGAACTCACAAAAAAAAGAGAAAAACACTTCAAAGTTTATCCGTACAAATGAATGTTTTGAACAAGCACAAAAATGAACCCTTTCAATGGAAACGGCTTCCTCTGGCAGAGAGGGGGAGCAAGCTATTTCATGAAATTAAGTAGTAATACTCAATATTAATATTAAAATGACAAGTAGCAATTGACATGGTTCGATCTTCTATACTTTATATAGATGATCAAATCTCAAATTGGTAAGACTTTAGTTAAACGTTGGACAAACTAACAAACCCCACTGCATCCCTTACAAGAGAATGCCTGAAGTGTCTTGAATAAGGTTCTGAGTATAAACCGGTTAAGTTAATAAAGCTTAATTTAATCTAATTAACCGAGCATTTATATCTTAAATTGTGTCTTGTTGACTCCCCAATCAGTTCAATCCACCTGAATTGCTTACTGCTGCATCCCCATGAAATAGTGCATGAAATTGCCTCGAATAATGTTTGATTATAAACAATTTAACTTAATAAATCTTAGCCTAACCCAATCAACCCAAGCATTCATATTTCAGATTAGAAATTAGGTTATAATTAATCCGTTCAATCTATGAGCACCGGGGATTCTCTACTATTGTAGAATGGGTGGGATAGGTCTTTTCAAGCAATTATATATGTTTTTAACATATTAAATCTACCTACTTAACTTTTTTTATAAAAAAATTCTACTTACTTTCAACTATATTTAAAGTGTTAACTAATTGAATTGATGTGTTGAAAATTTACTATTCCGTACTATGTTTAAAAATATAATTAAATATTACTAGAAAAACATAAGTGCATGGGGCCCAAAGAGGATATGTGAAATTCACAAAGTGTGAAGGCGCGTGGAGATTCCAGTGGGTAATGTTTGGCAGAGAAAGTGATACTCTGGGTTGGCCTGCGCCTTTGGCGCTGCTTGATTGCCCCACCACATACATTCTTCTCTCTCTCTCTCTCTCTCTCTCTCTCTCTCTCTAATCTCTCCCTCCCCTTTCGCTCTCTAAACTCCTCGATGTTCCCGACCAAACTAACCCTCGTCCTTTCAGATAATATCCAAACTGCCATCGTCTCCCACTTTTTCCGTCGCAGACCGACTTCCCTCCCTCTGGCTTTGGCAGCGCACGAGCATTTAAAAGGCTGTCACCCTTCTCCCTCCCAAACACGACACACTCCTGCCACTATTGTCTGTTACTGAGGTCTATGATCATCAATGGACTGGACTACCTCTGAGTCATGATAAATGATCTGCATCACCGCAAATCCATTTGATGATCATAGAACTCAGTAGAACCAGAGTCCCTTCTTTGAATGGATAGTGCCTAACTGAGGAAATGAATTGAGAATTTGAGGTCCTCTTTTGGTATTCGACTTCCTTCAATCTTCAAAAATAAATAAAATTTAATCACAAATTTAGTATGGTAGGAAGTGTCCTTGTCACATTCCCATTCTACAAATAAAAATTAGTTACAAAATTCATCTTGTTCCAATCTATTTTAGAAAAAGCACATATTTGATGCACATCATTTAAACAATTAAATACAATATTAAGGTCCCATATGACATATATTTTGTTTCTGCTATTTTTGTTTTTAGACTGTTACAATATCAATTTTAACAACAAAAAACATATTTGGCGCAACCTTATTTTATTTTACACAATATTAAAATACTTCGTGAACAGTGATTCAAAACCAAAACACTAAAAAAATATTTTTTTTCTTATTTTGTCATTTGTTCATGCCCCAAAATCATAATTGTGCATATTCCCCAAAATCATAATTGTGCATATTCGACATTTTCACAGACCACAGCAAAATATCGTTCCCAAAAGTGCTTCTGATTTTTTTTCAAAACACTCTTACAACAAAAAAACTATTTTAGCTAAAAACAAAATGTCTAAAACAAAACGCATGCCAAACGGATC